TTAAACCCTTACGCATTAAATCGCAATTTTCTGAATTTATCAATTTTCGGAATTCCTATTATGCATCGATTTTCTGAATTTCAATAACGCTGAAATTTCTAAATATACGCTCATTCAAAAATTTCTGAATTAATCGAAGATTGCGCAAATAATCCTCTTGGTCGTGAAATAAGTATCGAATTATTCCTCCAATTTATGTTATCCCGATGGTTTGGAGATGGTTTATTCTTATAATAGCGATTAAAAAGTAAAACAATTTTTTCTATGCTGTCACGGCGTTTAGAGTTTCTTGCTTGGCTGTTGTTCAACTTTAAGAGCTAACACCACACGCGAGCTCTAAGCCCGCCGACGAACTATCAAAGAAAAACTAGAGACCGGTGAGTAAAAAGACACTTCTTGTACGTGTTGCTCTTCCATGAATCTATTTCACAATATCATTAAAGGAACGTCAGCGAGATGAAAGCACCGCCATTTGCAATATTTCCCAGCGTTGCCTTTAAATGAGAAAATTTACGCGTCACCTCAGCTTATTTGAGTTAGCTACTTTAGGTGCCACATTTTTCTGCCAAGATTTCTTTTATTCGGCAGAGAAGTCTTTTATTTAGCGGTGCTTGGGTGTGCAGCGGTGCGCGTCCACGCTTTAATGATCAATTTTATTCTCTTCCTAGCCACGAAACTTTATGAGCTCTTCAATTGGGCTCATTAACACGGAGCAGCTGCTCTTTTTTCGCGCGCTGACGTCTCATTAAAGTGAAATATGTCTTACAGAAGCTCTTATGCTGAGGCTCGTGCTATTGCTCTTCTTCAGTTTCGCATGCTGCTTTAGAATATTTTATAGATTGCTGCCAACAATGAATGCTGTTATGTACCTTCTTTTATATTGCTGCCCAAGTTACATGCTGCTATATATACCCTCTTTTGTATTGCTGCCAACAATGAATGCTGTTATGTGCCCTCTTTTGTATTGCTACCCAAGTACATGCTGCTATATACCCTCTTTTGTATGGCTGTCAACGTTATATGCTGTTATGTGCCCTCTTTTGTATTGCTACCCAAGTACATGCTGCTATATACCCTCTTTTGTATTGCTGCCAACGTTATATGCTGTTATGTACCTTCTTTTGTATTGCTGCCAAAGTTATATGCTGCTATATATACCCTCTTTCTATGGCTGTCAACGTTATATGCTGTTATATACCTTATTTTGTATTGCCGCTAAAGTTGCATGCTGCTATATACCCTCTTTTGAATCGCTGTCAACGTCACATGCTGCTATATGCCCTCTTATGTATTGCTATCAACGTTGCTCATAACCACTATACCATTTTTTGAATTTTCTTTCATTTTTGCAGGCAGCTGTTCCATCTCTTGTATTTCTGCCAGCGTTACTCGTGCTGCTGTCACTGCTGCTGTAATATTGCCAATTTGATGTTGTCGAATTCACCTGTACTGGTTATCTCTGCATTCCTTATGTCCTGATTATCTTCTGCTAAATCTGCAGTAAATACCTCGCTCAGTGTTATTGTATTTTTCTTATGTTGTTATTATGATTGCAGTTGAAGGTTTTGACTTGACATGTGCATGTCTATCATGTGTGCCTTACATGTGCCATTAATGACGCCCAATTCAAGTTTAACTGAGTCATCCTGTAATAACGGACGTGTTATTGTCACCTCGTGCATTTCTTAGCTGCGGTGCCGCAGTATTCGCTTGAATGCAGATGGCCACGTCAGTTTATCAGTACCACGAAATGAATGGAAGATCTCGAGATAGGAACGACAATTTATCTTGGTCGGGCTACCCTTGCTTCTGTTCCCGTGTTGCAGAAGCGTGCCATTTTTACGTCACTAGAGTTTGCTATACAATATAATTTTTGTTAATTTTTTTAACTTTAGGCAATATTATTAGCCTGACACCTAATTGTTCCTGTTAAATTCACTAAAGATTGCTACACTATCTTTTTGTGAACTTTTTTTGAGCGTCAGCCAATATTATTGGCCTGACACTTGATTGTTCCCGTTAAATTCACTAAAGATTGCTACACTATCATTTTTGTGAACTTTTTTTAGCGTTAGCCAATATTATTGGCCTGACACCAAATTGTTCTCTTTAAACGAATTTGATTCACGTGCACCTTGATATTCGTGGTCGAGATCTAAATCGTGAACTCTGGGTAGCTCAACATTTTGACATTTGTGTAGCAGCTAGAGAGGTTTGTATATGTGCTATAGGTACAGATGGCCTTGCTGCTACGTTTCATATTCCTAATTAAATAGTGTTCAAACAGTGATGCCAAGTAACACACTGACAATTGCATCCGTGAGAGATTAATTGATTAAATTGATTATAGTGTTGTGCATGACTTCGGCAATTGTCCTAAATTAATCATTTTTCTTCCGGTCTAAACGTAAACAAGGTATGGTCCCGACGTTCCAACCGAAATGTATAGCGGAAGTGGCATACTTTTGCCGCGGGACTGTGGCCTGGTATTTATATACAAGAGGTGTTTTTTAGGTCGTTCCTACGTAGTTTAGACGTGCCAAATCTTGCCGCTAATCCCTAGAGGCGCGTACACGATTACTTCTTGGCTTCATTTCCCGAGTTTTTACGACAGGTGATCAAGAGCTTGGCCTTATTGCTTTATAATCCCGGCGACCTCACGCAGGCGCTCTAGAATTACCTTCTTAGAGTTGTTCCCCCGATGAGCGTGTTTTGTCCGATGGTCCGGAATCAAAACATCTCAATTTATTTCAAACCATAAAAATGTCAAATGTATGATGCTACGAATCTATGATAATTTTCTAGTAATTATTGCGTCTAAAGTTAGTGCTTGTATGCATAGCCGAGTATAAGAAATCCTTGCCAACCAAACATATTTAATCATTATACTTTGATGGCAAAATTCGTATACATTCCATTGACATGATCCCCATGTCACCAGCAATATAAGCATTAACATAGGCCTGCTAATTAAATCTCTGTCATTAAATCAGAAGTTTGTATCATTCGAAATATTCACCAGCTAAATCGTTTAATTTCACCCAGAAGAAATATTGCGACATGACGCCAATCTCTATTTCTCACTCCAAGAATTTTAAAAAAGTTTCATTTATTTATATGATCAAATATGAGCTCCAATTTTGTGCTACATTTCATTTATATCATATAAAGTTACGCGCTTGCTATGGTTAAATAACTGAAAATACGAGTATTAATGGCTGTCTCATTTTGATATTCATAGAGAATTGTTTCTCTTTCTAGGGTTCTTAAACTGATCCTACCTAGGATCGGTTTAGGTTCTCCTAGGGTTCTTAAACCGAGCTAATGTACTTGTGTGCAGCGATATTTTATTGCTAATTCACTTCTCAATTTATCATTAGATATTAAATAATTTCTGGTGCAACGCCCAACTTTCACTAATTAGCGGCATTTCTTCCATTGTAAATTCATTTGATCGTCGCTGTGACTCTTCTAATTGATCACGACTCGTCGGTGATGGTATATATATAATTCTGCCTCTGCCGCTGATAGAACCAAAAACATTTGTGAAAAGAAAGTAGAAATTCTGAGTGAACGCTGCCTTTGTTTTGCTGCTAATTAGGATGCAGGACGCTGCCCTTCTCGACGTGAAGACCTTATGTAGTGTAGCAGTGCGGGCTCTTCGCTTAACAACTCCCTAATTCTTGTGGTTGTGCACTTAAACAAGCATTTGCTTGACCCTGCCCAGGTCAGTCTTGAACTTGACGGTTCCTCTACAATATACATCATATCAAAGCACGTCTTCACCGCATTGACGGGCGCTCCTGATCTGCCATTGCTTCCTTCACACGATATAGATTTTTCATGTTTATCTCTTAAGCATTTATTTTTAAGTTAAGCACCTCTTAATCATTTTTTGCATTGCTGTTGTTGGTTAAACTCAATAATTATGAATATCTCGGTAATTATTCATAATTGTCCATTGCTGCATATGAGCACGAACTACTGCATAATAAAGCGTTTGCCCTGTGTATGTATGTAAGCATTCATGGCTCATTATATTAGTAAATACTGAATTTGAGTCTTGTATCAAAGTCTACGGACTTCTCATGCCTTGCTCAGAGTCTATTTGAAATAAAATCCTCTTTTCCCCAAAAAATATTTCTCATTCTCTTCAGGTCTAATAAACCAAGTATGAGACGAATATTTCTGTACGAACTATAACTTTTCGTCAATATTTTCTATCAGGTTGTAGACCGGTTACGGTGATAAATATAGGAAAAAAACACTATTATATACACCGTAAGCTATCGTTTCCAGAACTAATGCTTCTACGATGCGTTTCAAGAACGGCCAGTAACGCGCCTGGAAATACGCTTCCTAATTTCTTCCGTTAAATCACAAGAAAGTCCACGATGGTCGCCTCGTGGCTCGTTCAATTGAAATGTGCCTTAGCCGCTACAGAATGCCGTCCGCTGGAGCGGCCGCTGGCGTCTAGAAACGCTCCAACTTGTGCGTGTATCTTCAACTCCGTGTGGCGGCGGAGGCCTCTTCATTTCACTTAAACATCCGCAGCCAATTTCAAATTGAGCAGAAATTCTGGGGGTTCTCGTTTGCGAATTCCATCACGTTAGAGGATGTGCAAATTACGACCCATCGAGAGGTTCATCGTTACAGAAACGCTATAGAATACATCGGTTCGCAATGACGAACTTAGAACGAAATTTTATACTCTCACTTCCTTACAACGAAGTTTGTTAAATTGTGTCAACATCTTATTTATTCTCATATTAATTTATGATTGCTAGTAATATTTATTAATTATAGTATTGCTAGTATTTTTCCTAAATTTTCTCCTATGATGACCTGACAGCTTGAAGGTAAGTTATTCAAGGTCCATCTGCTGTAAATTCTACCTCGTTCACTTCCACATACTTGACCGTTTTGCATTCTTCCTGTAATTCCTTATTAGATGTGCACGAGTCTCAAATATTTTACTCACGTGTATTTCTTGATTGCAGGCAGCAACGTCGTGACGGGATCATTCAGGATAACAAACCAGAACTTCTGGTCAGGCTTGGAGGACAGGACATCCGAGTCTTACAAATACATGGCTTCTTCTATAGAATCCGAGGTGAGATCCATCAATACTTTTTGTAATTCAATCGGGCGTAATTAACATTAAATACTTTTGTAATACTATCCTACGCGAGTTCAATGGAGTATTCTCTGTAATACAATCCGCCGTGAATCTCTTTCTCTTTGTGATACAAAGAGAAATAAAGTGAATATTACTTTTTGTAATAGATTATTAGGCAGGTCTTCTCAAATATTCATTTTAACACAACCCGAGCGTACTAAGATTGAATAATAATATTGTTAACAAGAGTTTCTTGATGAATATTTATGTCACTGATACTGCAGTCCGTCAAGAAACATTGTTTATTTTTATCCGAGGTGCGTCGTAAAATTCCTGTCATAGAAAAGAGATGTTTGTTTGATTTTATTTTATGACAAAAATCAACGAAGATTAGCTTCTTTTTATCCGTAATCTAAGACGAGTCTCTTTCTGTATTTTTAACAAATCTGAGATGAGTTGACGTTAGAAATCAAATGCTCGCGTTTCAATAGCCAATAAGAGTCTAGGAGACAACCTCATGTGCTGGGATCTCCGGTAGCAGCTGTAAGCAACGTGCCCAGAATCCAGCGCGTTTAATCTGTTCCTCCAATGCTCTGATTAGCACAAGCCTGGCATCAGGAGCGCCATCTTTGATCTCACAGCGCAAGCTTTTGATCAACGCGACTTATGTGCCATTCTTGATCAGCTTCGTCTGTCTTTGAGATCGGCGCGCTCACCATATCTGACCTTACCATATATATAAAAGTGCCTTCGGGGATAAAAAACCAGATTACTCACCTAAATTCTCATTATTTTTTATGAAGATTCGGCTTTTTTGTGTTATATTTTCTGGTATTATATGTTCTAAGTTTCCTGCGATTTTGTGCTACCAAATTGATTTTTTTATTATTTGTTCTTTTGAATATAGCGTTGTCCATTTCTTTACTAAGATCAGAATGACGGTCATCAAACGTATTTTTTTACAAAGAATTAAAACTACTCTTCTTAACTTATCTACTCACTACTCTTATTGATCCAGCCAACCTTATCAGATTGTCCTTACCGACATAACTTTCCTTATTGGCATAACTTTTTGTGAATGTTGCGTCTGCTGTTAGCTGCAAAGCCACGTCCAGGCACGAATTACACATAAAAATAACTCAGATTACAACACTGAATCAACACATTCATTCAGAATTATGAATAGGTCACATGTCCAGATAGTGACACTTTCCTACCCACAGCATGACCGGGGAGCAACGTAGCACTGATTCACCTCCTAGCTATATGCCGGGCCGGCCGAACTGAGTCAGCCAAATTTCTAAAGCGTATCTATACATGAACAAAGTGTTGTTCATATCTTTCAATGTTTCAAAAACGTCGATTTTTGTGCATTAAATCTGGAACATTTTTACTAACTATTAAACCTTTAAATTCGACTAATATCTTGTTGTTGTGTGTAACACCATTTAAACTTTGAATTTACGTTATCACAACATTAGATCGACCCGCCGCCTGCCGTGCTCTTAATAAGGCATTCTTATCTTATTTAGCGTCGGATTATTAATATCATTGGAATATTGGCTCTTAATTAAATTAAACGGGTGAAAAGATTTGAATCCGTTAAAAATTAACGTTGAATGATATCGCGAAAAACACCTCACGTTCAAAGTTGTATTCATTCCTTGACTAAGTCTGGAAACCAATTTCTATGTTTATTTTCTTCGTAAAATATGTTAATGTATAGTATAAAATGTTATATTGAAAAAAATCGGTTTGACAGCGCAAGTAAAGTAAATAGACTAGACAAGCATGCGCAAGTTGGTGGCACTGGATAATTGCTATGTTGATTGCGTGGCTGCCTTAGGTCGCTTCTCATCGACGGCGTCATAAACAACAGCAGGCGTAGCTTGGTTCCTTCTTCGAACCGCCGTCGCGCTCTTCAAAATGCAGTCTTGCCTAATTTAGTAGTGGACAATCAATTTCATTAGAATATTGGCTCTTAATTGAATTAATTATGACTATTGCGACATGCAGGACTTTATTCATTTAAATTAGTAAAGCTAGAGCGGTTTTCCTTGTATGGAAACAACCTCTTGCAGTCGTGGAGTTGAGACTGCAGGCTGCTCTGCAGCAATACTCGTCGGTACACAGCTTTTCATCGGGCCCCATGCAAGGATAGAGTCTAATTATGCTTCCCTTATCTTGATCTGCCTACAGGTATCAAGCTACTCCACTGTACCGGATCTGAGCTAAGATTAGCAAATTATTATTTAGGTAAAACTATTGTGCGGACGCAAGTCATCGAGTTACGTTTAAGCAGCACTTATGAATTTTTAAAATGAAACTTCTAAGCCGATGTAAGACGCCGGGCTGCGGCAAAACTGCTTTGCCGTGAAATGTAGTCGCTCGAGCGCTTCTTGAAAGTACAGGACAGCTGAGCTCTAAAGTTTCATGATTGCAGGAATTAGGGGATCCGCAGGCGCCTCGATTACACCCCTTTAAGTCCTTCTAAAACGCCACTGCAACAACCCCTTTGCACTAAAAAACCGCTCCTCCTTCTTCGTGGCTGACTTCTTAAAGATGAAGCGAGAATAATTTAATTACTGGCCTGTTAAACGTCGCGCTCCCGCCAGCATCTGATGATCTGCATTCTAACCGCATGTTCAGCTTCACCAACTCGCTATTATTTCTATTATTATCAACCATGGAACTCATTGAATTTATGTTAATCATTGATGAACGCTCGCCGACATTCGTGTATGTATACAAAAACGATCGGTTTTATTTATAACGCCCTACATGCTCGCGTAATAATCACCGTCGTCGTAAGCGTAGTTATGATTATAGCTTTTACGATCGGCATATCTTTGGGAAATAATGTTTTCATTATCTAAACGGCCCGAGGTTAAACCGTAAAGTTAAATGCACAATTTTTCTTTTGATTATAGTATGGGACAAAGCCTTTTTAGCCTTCTCTGTTATTATCATAATATCATCGTTCAATGGTTCATGATGCTTTCTTTCTAACACTCGTGCATGCAACATATCGCTATATATTATAAAATATTCATAAATCTCTTTAATCGTGACCACATTTTTCCTGGCTCATTCTTTTGAATTATTTTGTCTTCGAAGAGAAATTGCGAAAGTAACGCTTGGTCTACTGTATCAATATTGTCACGTATATAATTGCTGCTTGCCAGTATCTGCTTTTGCTTGTGTAAAAGGAGTATATTTTTTGCCCATTCATTGCTTTCCCGATTGTCCTGCCGGCTTGTGCCATTCTCACGCCACTTGCTTGCTGCAGGCCAGCAACATGCTTAAAAAAATGCCTTTTTAGCGTATCATTTATGGAAAAAAAGGCGCTACCGGTATTGTGCTTGCCATGTCCGTCTGTCTGTCTGTCCGTCCGTCCGTGACTTCACGTTTTCGTCGACGAGAAAATGCGCTTTCTGTCACTCACTGCAGTGAGTACTACTGAGTTATATTATATTTATTAGTTAATATATATTTATGCTCAGATACATATCTTACCTTAATGAATAAATCCATCTCAGACACTTGTGAAGCAATGGTAAAGTAATTTAACAATGGAAAATTTACAAAGCAGTTTACAAAGTCATTGGCAATTAATATACTCGTTAGTGGAATAACTTGATGCAATCTTGCGGAGCAGATTTGTTAATTCGTTTGGATTGTGAAGTCAAAAATATTACGTTCTTATTTACGTATTTATCTAGTATAGAAGCTGTGCTTAAGGCGAGAAGTTGCGTCTTCTTTTCGGTTAATTTTTATCACGTTGATGTCCTACAAATTTTTTCCCCCAATCAATGCCTCCTAAAAATCCTTTGATTATTTAATTTCCATATACTTTCCATGAGTCGTCTTTGAGGAGGAATTAATAGAATTTTATCTTCCGTTATTTAAAAATACACACTGACTATCCAATGCGTGAAGACAAAAAAGAACGCGAATATTGCCGTGACCGTTAGTTGCTTCTCGTCGATTTTGCACCTGAGATTTATCACTTTCTTTCAACAACTTCAGTCTAGTAAAAATATTCATGTTCTTGTGCTCATATTTTATTTCTACCGACATTGAAGCTGACCCGTTATGCTAGCCATACTTGATTTTCTTACTTTTCCTTCGTCTAATCTCGTGGTTTTCTTAGTCTCTGACGACAGTACTTGTCGGGGAACATGTTACGTGCATGATGGTTGCGCTTCAAGCGTCGTTTCGCTGAACTATTGTACGACCAGCCAATTTAGGAGCCAATCTTCAGACTTATCACTGTCTAGATCTGGACGCTCCGGTTTGCATGATTCTGTAAGCATATTTTTGCCGCTCGTATAAGAAGACTTGAAACGAAATGTAGAAAAATATTATCCCGTAGCACCGAGCAGAAGTTATCTTACGTCTGAGAAATTTCCTCGCTCTTTCTGTGTTGTGAGTGAGCAAATAAACTGAGAGCCTGACACGAGAAGAAGAATTTATCTGAAGTGTACAATTTGAGGGTATCAATGCACACGAGGGCGTAGCTTTGTAATGGATGGTATCCCATGAAACGACTCAACGCTACTACCAAAGTTGAGCCGCCGCTGTCCAGAGAGTCTGAGTCTTGCCTTCCATCACTGCCGTCTACGTCTAACCTAATGGATGATGCTCCGTACCTGCCAATTTACCAGACATTGTTTGACTTTTTATTGCTACTCTCAAATTTAGCCGTTGTTGTTTATTGAATTCTAGTCACCAATTATCCATTAATAAATTACTACGTAATCCGCAGTATATTAAATATCGCGAACGGGAATTAGAATCCATTGACGTTTTGTTTATTGAAGTATATATTGAAGATAACGGTTTAATGCAGGGGAGCTCGACTTGGATGGTCACAAGACTCGCTGCACTCACTTGGTCTCTTCTAAATTCATTTCAGAATTTGTTAACATTAATGTATATTTTGTGCTATAATAGAAATTAATTTTTTTTAATTCTGTGAATCGATTTAGAATTAATATTCTTTTGAATCGCATCAAACAACTACATATGTTATATTAAAATTGAATCAAATAATATCCATTTTTTTTTCGAGGTTGAAGTTGTTGAACCATTTGTCTTAGGGGATGTTTTTACCGTTTTTAATAGTTTTCGTATAAAAAAGCTTGCCTGGTAACGAGAGTTACTTTAGCAAATAGGGACTAAAATCAATGCGAAAATTAATAATTATTGTATGCAATGTAATTGGACAAGCAATTGAATGCCATGTGCTTTTGACGCTGCGCTTTCAACTAATGAAACAAAACATTATTGGCGCGTCTCTTTTATTTTTTTCATGTATTGCAAGTACTCCGTTTTCAACAATATTATCGCAGGTGAAACGGTAATACTGGGTGATTCACGGAAACTTCCTATAGAGATGGGATGGGACGCTCTGCAAAATGTTGTCTCAGACGGAGACAACTCTGCAAAACGGCCGCTAGAAAAATTCGCCTCGACAGCAAACGCACGCTGCACACTTATTAGGATGCAGGACGTCCTTTAGACGCTCTCACTTGTCCTTTTATATGAAAGACTGGCCTCTTGGCGCGAAATACAAAACAGGAAATTTCCGTTAATCACCCTGTGCAGTGGTTACAGTGAAAGGAAATAATCTGTACTGCACTTACACTGAACAGGAAATAGTTATCAGTGGACCAATCAATAAAAATGTTTCAGTTTTGACCGTCATTATAGTATTTTTCTCGTTGCAAGTTATCAATATTCCATTAAAATCGTAATCGTGCTTTAAAGGTGTGTAATATTTTATTTAGATTTGCACATTCATTATTATTATGATTGAAAAAGTTCTACGCGATTATTTTTTTGTGTCACATCGCGTGAACTCAACTTGGCTCCATCGGAGTTTTGAAGCTTCATTTTATTTATGGCTTCGTTGAAATCTCCCGGTGGTAAATAATTTGAACCTCTATTTTATCACAAGGACGGTCGCAGATACTAGTGGCATAGAGATGGTCGGCGCTTAATTATACTCGTACTTCCTTAGATCTAATTTCTCCCAATTCTTTGTGGAGTTTTTCTATTGATATTTGTGTTTTGATTCAAATTCTTCATGTACTTTTCAGTTGGATTCGCTGTTCCGAAGCAGTCCCTGGTCTCAAGAATACAACGGGAGCGAAGTAGTGTCACTTTCGCCGGGATCTTTGATGGTTCGGACGCATTTACGACTCAAAGTTCCCGATGTTTCAGCTGCACAGAAGCTTGGCACTGCCTTTTTACGAGGGCTAACAAAACACCACGACCATGACTGGCTCGGGCCGTTCACCGTAGACGTCAATTCCGTCCGCTTTGCCGAGATTTTAGTTGATTCGCCATCATCGGCAACCACTCCCGTCTCCTCAGGGATGCATCGAGGACGTCGCCCGGAGTATCCAGTGGCGCCGCGAGGTCCTCCATCTCCCGAAATTTCTGTGGGTTGGGGTCAGTGGGGTCCTTGGTCTGCGTGTAGTCCATGTTCTCCTCAATACGACCAGATTAGGACACGACAATGCAGACTCGAGAGCGGCCAAGGACTTCTTGTCAACTCCGTGGAGCCTTGCTTGAAAAACCGCGGTGCCGGTGGCATGTCGGGCGATATGGAGACGCGATCGTGCCAATGCGCCAGCAATGAAATTCGGGAAGAAGAAGAACCTCCACCCACAACCATCGCGCCTAGTATTCCTACCACCCCTTCCCCTACCCCATCCACCACATCGTCCTCCATACTTCCTCCTTTCCGGGAGCAGGACAGCATCGGTCACGATTCCCTGTCTCACGAGGCTTCAGAAAGCGGTAAGTATCGATTTTTAATCATTTTCCCGCTTGTATTTTACCGCTTTTGATATGTGTATTTTTTTTTAATTGCTCATGAATGCAGTTTTATATTTTTTGTAGTCTTAGTAACGAGTTATGCTTGCCTTAATATTTTCAGTTGCTCAAATGCGTCGTTTTAATTAATTGATGACCACCCTTCCTTGTTTGATCTTTTCAATTCCTGATTTTGTTCGTGTAATTTTTTTTATTAACGAATCGCCGACTGGACTCGTCTTGTTCAAGACTTGGCACTCTTGAACTGATGACTCAAGCACACGATTGAGATTAACTTATCCCAGAAATTCATCGCTAACTCATATGAGCGACGAAATAATCTTCTTTGTGTATAAGTCGCCCGATGGTAAAAGTTTTCTAAACAATACCCTGACGATCAATCTCAGCCTTGACATGTGAATTCATTTTACGACATAAAAAGGGCGTACAGTATCTGAATTACCGTGTGAAGAACTGAAATCAGGAGTCGGTAAAAAATTCATGAAGCATCGTATCATCCAACGTAATACCTACAGAAAAAGAACGAAGCAGCATCTGCGACAAGTGTGAACTCGGCGAAGTGTGCGTGGCCCTGCAAGACGAACCTCACCCCACGTGTCGAACCGCCCGGGAGCCCGCGGACCCTACGGGCTGTGGGGGGCTGTGTGCCGTTGACTCTGAAGTCTGCCAAGCCTTAGGCTCCCGTGCATTCAATTGCCACAGCGCTTCGCAGTGTCTTGATGACGAGTGGCGGTGTGCGGACGGCCTATGTATTCCCATCATTAAAAGATGCGACGGACACATGAACTGTTATGATCAAAGCGATGAACAGAATTGCCGTGAGTAAAGCGAAACTTGCCAGCCCTTCTCATGATGTACATCAATCGTAATGCAAATGACTGGAGCTTACAAAATAAGTTTGTCATTATTGTTCAACATGGAAACATGATTGAGTACCGGCACCTTTATCTTGCATGCTAGCGTGCGCTAACGACTACTTGAGAACTACTACTGTTATTGCTTCTTGGATATAATGCCTTGAGTCGGCGTTATTTTGATGGACAGCGTGAGAGGGGCTCAGCGTGACAAACCACCCAACCTTTCATTTATTATCTTTCATTAACTCTCCTAACGATTTATTTCGTTATTTACATTCTTCCTTATGATTAACCTATTTATCCCTGCTTCTCTGATTATTTGTGGCTGTCGTAACTTCTGTTATGTGTTGCTTGCCGCATATTCGAAGATGTGTGTATATTTATCCTCATGTTTTGAGTTGTAATTTATTTAGAATTTATTGTAGCTTCTCACAAATGATATTTTTTGCCGTGATATGTGTGCAAAATTTATGTTACTTTGCTTGTCTTGCCTGCCGCGCTATGTCTGAATTTGGTGTAACATCTGTTCTTTTCTTGTTTCTTGTCCTGTCTTGCAAGGAAAGTATCTGCATTTGAACTGCATAAAATGTTCGAGTTTAAAATAAAAAAAATTAATACTGCCCAAGTGATGTAATTTTATTTGGAACTTGATTTTACACACTTTCTTACGGGCGAACATTTGATGTGTTCATTAAATCTAGAACATTCGATCTGAGAACAAAAACTCTCCTTGATAGAATTATTTGCTATGCTGAAAGTTCTTTAATGAACATTCTTTTTATTTTTCATCTGCATCTGAATAATTTCCGAGCTCTTAGATTTTATTTTGTCTGTTTCATGACTAATTAGAGTTCAATCCTGATTAATTTATTAGGTTTTGAATCGTTCGTCAATAATTACAATAATTTAACAGCTATTCTCGTATATATAGCAACCTAATCAAGTATGTTCGTCGGCTATTGAAATTTAAGTAATTCCATGACTGAACTGACCTTGAATTAATGGCATTAATACGGAGGCAGCGTATTTCAAAACTCAATATTATCCTTTCCTTGTGAAAACGCGGTATACTTCTAAAAATCAACGACATTCCTTGGATATGTTGAAGTTATGCACCCGAATTCTGTCTTTGCCCTCTATCATTACTTTTGAACTAGCCTAATTCTATATTAGAGTGAATATTTAAGAGGATGGCATCTCAACCCTGTTCGAAGAATGAATATTATATATAATATTACATATATTATATTATATACATTACATTACATTGAATATTATACATAACATTGTTTTGTTTATCTTCTTAATGAAGACGATTCCTAAAAATTACGCGATGTATGCAGGAATTGATTTTCATTAAACTTGAAAAAAATGTACATTTTAATGTGCGATAATGACACAAGCGTTGAATTTCAGCAGCGTGTCGGGCGGACCAGTTTCAGTGCGGCAACAATACGTCGTGTCTGCCGCTGACGGCGAGATGTGACGGCAACATGGACTGCTGGGACGGCGCTGACGAGCTCAGCTGTGCTGGAGGTTAGGCTTCTTGCTGTAATGTATCCATTGATTGTCTCATGAACGTTTGTGGTACTCGGGTAAGAATCATGCCATGATCATTTCTTCCCTGAGGGTACGCACACAGTGAAAGCAGGTTGCCAGCGTGCTGGTTACCTGCTCAGGCTGGCGCCTGAAACCATAGAATACAGAAGCCTATTCGTACAGGTTTTCACTGTGAACACTTACATTATTATCCTATGCTCATTCTTGTGGCAGGTTGGAGCAGGTTGCCCGCGCGGGCAAACCTGCTTTCACTGTGTGCGTACCCTGAGACGCCATTTCATGGGATTTATTGCTTTCAGATGGTGCTGCTTCTTCGGATTTTTTTATCATCTATTCAACCTATAGGATTTTTTGGCACCGTTGTTTCGCGAACATTTTTTCGTCGCAACACCAGAAACTATGTAGCATCTGCAGATCGTGAACTTATTTGCACCGCTTTTATTGATCTATGAATTGCACCGCTTTTAGGAAGTTGATTTGCTCTGCTTTTTAGGGACAATCCTGCACAGATTTTAGGGAACTGAAATGCACCGCTTTTTAGGGAGCTGATTTGCACCGGAAAAATTGTGCACCGTGCATAGAATTAATTTTGCACCGCTTTTTCTAGAATGTGTACTTCATTTTACTGTTTCTTTAAACGTCAGGCGTCAATTTGGTATCTTTAAACTTCAGACGTCAACGTCAATTTGGTTATTTCTCGACATGTACGCTCGTTCTTCGTAAAGTCCTAAATTCATGACCTAATCGAAATGATACGTTAATCTTGGGCAGCTTATTGAGGCGCCCGTTAATTGTCTACCACATTTGCACCGCATCCTTGTGCACGCACCTCTTTTTTAAATCTTACATTAAAAGCGTTAATATTACCCTCAAAATTCAACAATTGTCGCTGTTTTGCTGACATTTTAGGGTAAGAGTTAGTAAAATTGGACGCACTATTTCTGCGGAGTTACTGCGTCTCGATTGGTTGCACATCTGCCATGAATGCTGAGATTTTCAAGTCTTAAATAAGTTGTTTCGCTATGAATTTGATACTGCAAGTAAAATTTTTTCCATTGTCGGGATGATTTTTCTTTCAAATATTTTCAGACATCAATGAATAAAGAAAAGCAATTCCCTCACTTTCCCTTTCACATTATAACTTCAATATTTTTTCTTTACATATTTTCTTAAAAAATATTTTTCTTGTAAGTGTTTAAATAAATTTTAAACTATCGTACATTAGAATTGTAATTCAAATTCTATCAATTATTTTTTCACAATTTTTCAATATGAAACTTCATTTGCGCATGACTTGTGCATGCGTAGTAGTCGGAAAATCCGGCATTAAGTTCTGTTCTGAAACTTTCCTTAACACTTGAATGCAATTATTATTCTTGCTTATAAATATTTCTATTGAATAAAAAATTTGTTAGAAAAAATTGTGTGAATTTAGACTTTCTCATTTGTTATATATTTTTTATTCATTTGCTTTATTTGATGTCCCATTTTCAAATTAATTTAATATGAAAGTTAGACTTCTAATACGAAAGTGTCACCTCAAAAACTTGTAATATCATTTTTTTCATTAATTTTAGATAAATTTTCATTGTACTATCATTTGTTTTTGTTATTTTTTCTTGTCATGTTCATATTTTATAATCTCAGGCTACAACTATTTAATACCAGCATTATTACTGAGAATGGCATATGTGCAACTAACTAGAGGCTAACTCAAGCGCAGCTAATAGGCTCGCAACCCACGGTCATTTTTTATTCAACATAAACACTGCCACATTTCTTTATTATCCGGCATCTTTCATTCATTATGAGCCAAACTCGCTGTTGTATATTCTTTATGTTTTTTTATGTATGAGCCAAATTCGCTGTTGTATGTTGTTGCAGCAATGTATATTCGGCGGTTTCTTGGTCGATTCAAATCGAACAATTTCACGTTCAGAACTCATCTTCAGGATTAGCTAACTCGGGTGCATTATCAACAACCGTACAATACGACAATGTTAAGTCGTGTTATTTACCTTAAATCAAAGGAATATAATTTGATCTTAATTTCACCTAAGAAATCTTCTGGCTCTTTGAGTTGATAAAAAAAATGACCGCGTGTTACGCGCGCCTCAGAACGGCGGTGCCCTTCTATTCATTTCGCTGCGGACAATCCGCCCCCGCGCCCCGACTCCTCCGAGTTGTTCCCATGCCGCAACGGCGACGCCTGCGTACCTCTTGCTCGCTTCTGCGATGGTTTTGCCGACTGTTCTGACCGCTCCGATGAGCCTTTCGGCTGCTCCGGCAAATGTCAACGCCGTGAATTTAGTTGCAGGTATTTTTTGGGTTATTCTCCGTTGTTCTGGTGAATTTCATGTTGGACTTCAGGTCAATCTTTCCCGTTATTAGTTTTAGTTTCGTTTATTCATTGTTTAATATTGATATTTTCAGGAAATTTTCTTTGTTATCATTTTGATCCATGTTATTTTTTATAAAATGTTTCATGTTGATTGGTTCCCCTCATTATTAACAAGTTTGATTTTATATACCTACGTTGATAGGATTGTTTCAGTTTCAACGCATTCACTGTGAGCTTCTTGAATATCGATCGTCTTTTGTTTAAATTTAACTTGCATACATTTTCCATCTTGATACAATTATTTTTCGCCACACTAACACTATTGATTTTCTATGTATAGAAAAATTCATTTTCTATTTTTTTGAAGTTTTTTCCTATTTTTTACTTTTGCTTCTTACTAAAATCCACAAGTTTATCGGTTTCCTGCCTTGATTTATAAAATAACAACTCCGTATTTTACAGCGGTTATCTCCAAAAACTCAACTGTGTACACCTCAAAAAGTTATGTTACAATATCACCTACTTGTCAAACCAATGAACGTGACAGTACGCGAGGGTAGACTTCATACAAAACCGCTCTTAACAGGAGGCGATCAAGACTTCTGCTTCTCTGTGTACAAAATGTCTTTAATTTGAATGTTAATGACGGCTCTATTATAGAATAGAATAGAATAGAATAGAAGTGTCGGCGTTGAAGACATAGGCCCATGGCCTGTTGCCGATTCTTGAACTTTTCGTGACTTGATTCACAAGGGATCCGGCCTTTGGAACCCGATCTTTCCATAGCTGACGATTGATTGAGATAGCTGCTGGACTTATTGCCTGGTCCGTAATTTGCTAGGCATTTTAAGACTGAACATATGCTCCTGCATAGCTTCGTCTAGTCTGTTTTTGAAGATGTTCATACTCGGAGCTTATTGCAGGAACGGGCGCTGCATCCCACGGAGCCGTGTCTGCGATGGGCAGGAATCGTGCGGCGACGGCAGCGATGAACAGGACTGCCATCGGCCTGTCGTCGCTCTCGCACAGGGAGAGAGAACTACTCTCCTAAATCATCCCCTTGTTGACTTGAGACCATTCGCTGGGTCCACCTCTACCCCTCGTTTTCATCAGCGATACGAGTATCATTTGAAAGAATCCCCACAAGTCATGGCAGAACCAATGAAACTCCGCGGAAATCCCGACCAATTATCTGTGTCTCTCCACAGGGATGCTTCTCAAGAAATCGTTGTTTTGTCTGAAAAACCATTCGCGTCATCTTTTTTTGACCCGATGTTAAATGCGGCTCCAAGTTCCAATGACTTCAATCCATCTGAACAAGTCAGCGTAACAACTGAAGTTGGAGCCAGTTTCACTACCACTGAAACTTTTTTTAATTCCCGGCCTGAGCTGAACGATAAGGCAGATGCATCCAGCTTTGACAACAAAAAAGTCATTGAATTTTCTCATATCCGTCCTATTCCATTTACCTTTAGTGATGGCTATGATCCTACCGTGAAGAAATCGAACAGTTCCAATGCAGGCAATCATTCTCAGAAAACCAAACCTCGTCAAGACTTTACCGGTGGTTCCCCGAATGGTGCATTTGCTTCTGTTGCTGGCGCTTCCACGGCTTCGATAGATCCTCGAGGAAATGTTACTTCACCTCCTCTTGCTAGTGTGCCAAAACCATCTTTTACTCTGGATCGAGGCTGGCACCTCACTTCTCAATTTATGCCGAGCTTGGATAAATTCGCAGGAGGCGACGATGGATCTGTAGAGAATGTTGAGTTCTCAAATCGTGATGGTACCTTGTCCGAGGAAACCGATGTCTTAGCAGTTTCCGATACTAGAAATGAGACACAAGTCCAGGAAGTGTCAGGTCTCAAAGGAATTACGATTAACAAGGTCCGAGGCTCTCAATAATTATACCTGCGCGTGTTCACCGATCTCGAAACTCTGAGGTTTGGTAATAATCGCAGACTTTGATAATAACTGTGCTCACGTGTTCATGAATTTCTATACCTCAATTTTTTAAAATAATCAAGGCTCGAAGTTACTACAATTGTGAAATTCGCGTGTACATGAGCCCATGAAGAGTTGTCCCTTATCCCAGTCAGTTTTCATGGGAAATAATTTCAATATTTCTGGTTTTCTTGAAGAATTTTGAAAAACCATTCTCCCTCTGGCTCTGTTCTAAGCGCTGGGTGGTTTCGAATGATGTTTAGAACACGGTAACGCGTCGTTATGATAAGCAAATGCCGCGATTAGTTATCGTGGCTCTAGTTGTTGAATACCAAAGAAATGAGTGTATATTTCCTCGTTGCTTTTAAGGCCTTTAGATTAAAAAGGTTATCTAGTCCCCTGTAGTTATATGGGCCGTTGTTTCTTTTGTATTATAGTATGTTCGTTTGTGTGTCTAAATGTAACTTCTTGGTAATTTACAACATCTATACAGATGCAGTGTCTTCAATTTCATATTTTTCATGGGTTTTAGTATCATTTAAATACATTTTACATTTTATGGACATGTTAAATCACTAGAGTTAAAAGAAAGGATAAAATTTTCTAGGCACTTAATAAAAGCGGTATTTTAAATAGATTCTGAAAATATTGTACCATCATCCATTATATGTTTCTCCTCAAGCACTGCCTGTGATTTTGACTTCAAGTTGAGATTGCTTGTCCTATGAGTTTTTGCCTCAAGTCCTGTAGATCTCGTGGGTATTCTTGTCGATACGAGAATATCCTTAGACCTCTTGCATTAATTCTCTCTTATACCTTCTTAACTTGATTGCCGCCAGAAATTAAGTCCAAAATTTTATGGAATTTATTAATTTATTCTGGCAAAATCGTTGATAATTGGAAAATTTTTGTAACACCGATTGATTTAGTATTATCAGTGTTGATTGACAAGTTCAGACACTTTGTTTCGAGTCATTTACTCCATAATGTTAAAATTAAAATTTTTTTATTAAGCCGATTCATACATTCGTGCTTACGTAACGTGACGCATAAGAAGTCGTCCGATGATTTACTTATTGCGACATTTATATCTCTTATTTCACACGTCACTGCTGAGGTAACCTGACTTTCAAGCATTGCCGATCAAGGACGTCAACTTGCCGGCATTCAGTCAGGATTTGAGTTAAATTGATTGCATCATTTGCACAGCCAACAATAAACGTTCTGTGAAAATCTTCCCGGAAAACAAGGGTAATAAGGTTCCTTGCGCCAATGAAATAAAGTATGTATTGTAATCTTTGTAATAGAGATTTACAAAGTGGTTTTTGGAACCGTGAGGTTTTCTGTGTAAAATCTTCAGCGATGGGAAGTTTTTGGTTCGAGAGTTCAAAGCTCGACTCAGTGTATTTACGAGTTGTTGTGGAATGTGTTATACTAACTGAAAATGAAATGTGTTTTGGATTGTATAACTGTTTCTGAAGCAAAGCAACATTATAGAACTTAAAGTCTGATTGTTGTTTGCAACTTTGAAAAGATGTGATCGTGGTTAATTTGTTTTGTACGTCAATTGCAATCGCGCCGATTTGCTCACTATAATAATATATACTTGAACTCTTAGGACTATTTAGTTTTTTGAGCGGGTTTGGATAATTCAATTTGAAATCGGTGACATTTTATTGGTGCCTTCCTCGACGACGGCCATGTTGTAGCAACTAGGGCGTTAGTGGCCATTTGAACATTGTACCTCTTTTGCAACCGTGTATGGAGTCCCGATGATCAGCATTCTTCGGTTTAACTGAAGAATTCTACATTTTGAATTCATTTTACGTTATTTTATGGTGTTATTAAGAATAGAGAGAGGTTTTACTGAATTTTTCTCAACGTCTTGATGTTCTTGGAAATTTGTTTATTCGTGTAGTTTTATTGTCATTTCTTATCTGAAGCGCATTTGAGGTTCGCAACACACGCATCATTTAATATTTATTGAAACGAGTTTGATTTGGAATTTCACTTAAAATATTGCAATCATCAAGCCTTATTTCAAGACTAAAATGTCAAGTGACTAGTTGTACGAAAAGGCTCGGCCTACAAACTCGAGTTTTATCAGCATCAGCTCCATCATGTCCAATTGTGTATCCGAGAAAACATATGCAACGCATGGCTAAACCTGTGCATCGTATATTTTTCCAGTAGTTAACTGAAGAATGATTTGATGTGTAAATTACTGTAGAAGTACAGCGTTGAGGTTGTGAACTTCTTTGTCCGGGCAGCGCTTTGCAAACTGCTTGCGTGCATTCATTGTTTGAATAGGAAATTCCTGATCTTCACCTCAACCAGAGCCTTTTTTATACGTAACGGCATATTTTATTATATGGTCTTTTTTTACTATAGTCTTTTTTCCTAATTTGCAGTTGTTTGACCCTGAAACAAGCTTGATTTATAAGAAATTTGGTGCAAGTTCTGGAATTTGTGTGTGTGCGTTTGACCATAAGATCGGTTGATCATTTTTGAAAAGCCTACAACGTGGATAATAAATATTTGCAGTGTTTATTATTCATTCTTGTATTTTCATACTTTTTGTATTGTTAAAACCAATACCCTCGACATATTGAATTGTCATTGCCTAAAAAGTTGCTTGGCAAATTTCCACGTATGTAAAGTCTCATTGACGATAAGGCTGAATATAAATCGTGATTACCCGTTGATATCGTTTCTGGTCGCAAGAATGTATTTGTTGCTATTTTACATGTTCGTTTACCATGCGTGACAATCTTTCGTAGAATAGATATACTTGTCAATATTTATAGTGTGTGTTCCGGAGACAATAATTGCATAATTCTACTGATAATTTCCGACGAAACCAAGAAATATCTTAGCTAAAATGCGACATCTCTCCTAGATGCAGAAGTATAAGTTGTTGTCTTCAATATCCTTTGAAAAGTATACAAATAACATCGCGGTTCAAAATCTTTGTTGCCTGATTATGATTTATTTTAACTTTGATGGTAATAATAATAATAATAATAATAAGCTTGGTGCTCAATGCAACGCTGTTTCAGGAAGGGCAAGGAGCTTATTTATAATCTTTTTCAACGACGGTGTTTTAACTCAAACTTTGTACGTCAATGTATTTAACACACAGGTCATAATTTAGGCTGTCATACAATTTGTTGAAAGCAAGTTCTGATGAGGATGGTTACCGATTGTTAGATCAAACTTGAGTTCTCTAAATTTTAATTATTCAATAAACTATCGAGAATAATGTGAATTTTTAAAAAATATTTTCTCTCTGAAAATGGGGCTGCATAGGCTGAGTGACGGGGGTTAAACTAGACGTGAAAACAACACCGCAGAGATCACTTATTTATAAATAGTCTTTTCGTACTAGAGGATAAATCAGTTCACAATTAAAGAGCCGACCACTTGTTGATGCATCAACCGTTATGTTGGAGCGTCTACCAGCATATCCTTCATTTATTCGTGATGGCAATTATCTTCTGGGTTACATCTGCATTTTCGTGGTACTTTTTCTATAATTTTTCTAACTTCACTTCTTTCTTTTAACTTCACAAAATAATTTTGTGAAGTTAAACGCTTGTCAGTTTATTCACATAGGTTGCTTTTATTTTTTTATTCTATTTTTATGTATGTGGCGCATTTTAATTTAGGTAGTTAGCACTCGCCTAATATAATTGATTTTTTGACGATCGTTTTTCTAATTGGAGTCGCTGATTACAAGAGTCCAGTCCTATTGTAAATAATGCAGCTTTAGATATATTAACGGATGGTATTTTAAGGCTTATGTGATATATTTATGTTGTACTACACTTTGGAAATATAAAGTTTTATAAATAAATCTGAAAAATATTGTCGCGGCTTTCATTATCTTTCAGCAAACTTCTACAAATGTAGAACCTGTTAGTAGTGGTAATTTAAAAGTAGCGCATCAGTGTTATCGTAATTAATATATATATAATCGCTTAACCTCATAATGAAGGCTTGACCTTTGCAGTTAACACAATGTCGGGTTAACCGAGTGCTGGCCCTCTTCTAAATAATTATAATTAATCCAGAGTCATGACTAAGTATCAAAACTATCTTCCATCAAAATTTTCATTCAACTTAGGGACAATTCAAGGTACCGAAATAAGTATTTCGTCCGCTGTTGGCAGCTGAAAATTACACTCGTCCAGACTTTGATAGGTAGTCCTGATATTTAACAACGAATTTAAAATCCTAGATAATCCTCATCTCTCAAAATTTGTCAAACGAATAACTAATTATTGCTTAGAAGCTAGAGGCAGCTCATGCATGGTCAGGTCACAATATATGAATAGATTTGGTTTTAATTGAAGAAATTACTTGAATAAACTGTCTGTTGTCACATCTTTTAATCATTCTGTTATCATAAATTACAGAAATACTCGTACAATTCAACGAAAAAATCCGTGCACAAACGTGCTCAGCGCAAGTGCTCTCTTATCACACCCAGTGAATTCCAGCCGATTTTATTCACTTTGCTATATTTCTTTCAATTACATCGAACTTCCACATTACTAAAACTTTTCATCTCCATTCAGAGTAAAATGAAAAGCCTTAGACCGAGATAAATAACATTAACCTTTAAATTTCTCAATTTAAAAATCGCTATTTCTCAAAAGGGCTTGTGAAGGAAGTTACTCGTTCACGCAATTATTTACGACGACAGAATACCAAGTAACTTATACGAACAATTGATAAGCTATTGGAAATATGTTCAGAATTAATAAATTATAACAATCATTAATATGAAGCAGATGAGTCCAAAATTTTTCACAATTTAATATTAATTGAATTTTACGATATTGATAAATATAAATTTTGATATTTTCGTCACGTACTCCACGAAGATCATTATCACTTCATAAATCAACTGATGTTTAATCGAACCTGCCTTGTGTGCTGACAAGGCATGCACAATTAATAGGAGTACTCAAATATTATTCCAAGTATGTAGTAATCCAACTTAATAATCCAGCACTAAACTGTCGTCACACGAGACCGCTAATGAATAATAAGAACAAACTTGGAGAATCATTATCAAATGATCGTCAAAGAAAGAAAATTGGTTATAATTTTACTCAATTAGACATTTTTAATGCAGCCTGCAGCCAAAACGTCGCAGATAACATCGTTAGTGGATCCCAAGAGACGGTAAATGGGACATGCTGTAGTAAGTGGTTCGAGGACGCAAATTTGCAAAAAAAATTGTTTCATGAAATTCATGCAAAACATGACTAAGCGAGCTGCTCGTCGTCTCAAGTTATTTCACTATATTAATAATCGAATGCCGTAGCGCATAATAATCCGTTTGATTCACAAAACGATATTCCCCAATAGAATTATAAGAAAAATATCTAGCAATATTGGTGGACCTTGTCAAATAAATAATATCTCTTGAACCCGTACGGATTTATCAGGTGGAAACAAGAGTTTCAACAATAGATTATTAGAACTTTCCTTTTCAAAATTAAATAATATCACTTTTCGGTTGCAAAAATACTTACATAGAAATTATTTTCAAGTTTTGAAATTGAGGGCTATTTAGAAGAAAAATTTCAGCTGTTATTTTGTGATCTTAACAAGCAAAGCTTCTAAAATTGGTTAAACAACGCAGAGTTCTGAGAAGTCGATAGTCTAACTTCGATTCGTTTCTAATTAACCAGACTGCGCAGCGAATCGTTTCTGCAATTTCACCATCTTTCGTCTGCATAAGTACATTCATTATACGCCTGTAAAGAGCACATTCATCAAACGAATGTTAAATACATACAAGTGCTCACACGAGTCATTAAGGCGTTCGTATCGGCTTACCTATGAATAATTTTTAAAAAGATTGGAATGTCAAAAGTAGGTAGTTTCAGAGCAGCCACTTAATAAATTTACATTTCTCTACCAAAAGACACTTAGCGTTGGTTCGTAGCGACAGGCAAAAGGCAGAATGAGGTTCAGGCAAAGGCAAGAGGCAGCCAAGCTTCAGGCAAAGGCAAGATGCAGCATAAGATTCCGGCAAGGGCAGGATCGTGGGCAAGCAAGCAGTGCAATGTCCACTCTAACACATTGAAGATGTAGTATACAACATTAAACTTGCACAGCGTACAGGTGTATTGAGGCAAAGGCCAGCAATGGCAGAAATATTCAATAAACGATCTATATACTTCCGTGCGTCAAGGACGTCACAGAAGCTGACGATTTTCCCTATTTTGGATTCTCGGTCCTATCATTCGTCCAAGTTCTAAGTAATGAGAGATGAACTGTCACACTTTGATTCGTTTCACACTCAGCCAAGTAAAACTGCATCGCATCTTCGATTGATATTAACGCTAATAAAGTTACTTGTTCAACAAAAAATGAAAACTTAAAGTTTGACTCAATCGGTTTGCCGCAGCGGCTATTCGCGCGTCTTGGGTATCTAATGGCACATCATCGACGACTCGCATAAATAGACAACAAACAAAATATAAAAGAATTTTTCTCGGCCTCAAAGTGTAAAAAACACCAGAAACATCCTCCGAGTTAAGCAAATCGCAAATTCCATAAAATCGCTTTTTGTCTTCAGTCCTAATTTCAAATTATCAGCTACTTGAATGAATTATAGACGAGATGAAGAACGCAACGCCTAAACACACACGATTACACAAAGAATAAATAGCAGGGCTATAGATTAAGAAGATCTTTCAACGTCATCCTGCTGAGTAACAGAACAACACAAAAGTTAAAATTGTAGATGACACATCATTACATGCGCACATTACACGCCGTGTTCAATCCATACGAAAAATAAAATAGATATCCTGAACGATAAATACGTTAAAAATATCAAATCATTATAAAAAATTTTAGGTGATCAAAAATAAAAAGAAATTTTATAAGCCAAACAAATGTCACGTGGTTCTCCATATTGTTTGAATTAATATATAAATATAAAAAGAAAGCTTTTACTGGTGCAAAACTAAAAAAAATGGTTGTTTACCAACCTAAGTGAATTTTAACTGTTCACTTTAACCGGCCTCTTTTCCGAACCCCAAGAATAAATCTAACCCCTGATTTTCCGTTCCCAACCCCCAAAGGGCGGAAGTATCGACCACTTCGCCGACCCCCGCTCGAAATATGAATGTTGTTGAAGCGTTGATGCTTCAACTTCATCAAAATTCACCTCGTACGTTTGTATATTTCTATTGCAATTCATGTTCGAGTTATCAACTCAATTCAGCTAAAGCAAAGTATTTAAAACTAACAAATTAAAGCATTAGTCGCTAATACAAGCATCCCTAAAGTGGTTGAATCTTAATCATCCGTAACCCGCCAAAAACTTTGTTCTGTGAACGAAAATAGCGCACATTAAGCGTCTGCTTTTAACAAGCTTCAGATCGATCACTGGTCCTATTCTTACCATGATGTCTTACTCGTTTTAAAATAATCAATAACGTCTTTTTCTCCTTTTGACGGCACTTAAAACGAACTTAATACGACATGTTAAACATCATATATGTAATGCTATGAATACAAATAATGATATTGCAGCTAATATCTGGGTCTCGCCGATAATTCGTACTTTAAATACGTTACAAATAAAATGTATAATTATCGACTACCACAAACTCGATAACCACTCAAACTTCACAACACCAGGTGCAACCTAAAGCTAATAGTGCACGCAAACTACAAGTAAAGTGAGTAGCAAGAAATACAAAGCTAAAAGCAATATAAAGAACCCATCATATTGAAAACATAGATTTTGTATTCACTGCTGAAATTATTATTAATTAATTAAATTAAATAACACTGAGCTCCCGATGATGTAGGGAGATTTTAATCCTTCGATATCTAAGAAGCAACACCACAAGCACGGCTCAAATAGCGAAGTTTGTCTCCCATATTCCCTCTCGTCTCAATATTTATCTTTGTCTCCAATGTAGCCGCGTCTCTCGTCTCAATACTTATCCTTGTCTCCAATACAATATAGGCGCGTCTCTCGTCTCAATACTTATCCTTGTCTACAATATAGGCGCGTCTCAATACTTATCCTTGTCTACAATATAGCCGCGTCTCTCGTCTCAATATTTATCCTTGTCTCCAATTATCCTCACACAAACATTTCTGTGAGCAAATGAAAGCTTTTACTCACACGCATTATAAGTATAAATGATGAGGGAAGCGAGAGAGAAAAATAAAGAACAGTGCATAAGTTGATTCATAATTAGAGAACTGCAAGTTTCATCATTGCGCGAAACAATTTACTAATAAAAATTACTATTGTCAGATGATGAATTAATTTCTTAAGTACACGCATTTGTTGCAATTCACGACACAAAAATTATTGCAAATGAGATAATTTTTTTCAAATTTCGAAAAAGAATTGTGCACTTATGAGTAAGATATGTACAGTACATTGATAACTTGTAAAGTTTGCTCTAAATTTTCCATCTCTCGGATTTAACTAATTTAAAAAAGTAGTCTGACTCTCAGGGCGACTTAATAACAGCGGGCATATTAACTGAAGCTTTGTTCGACTGCGCTCCTCACTACACTAATTTTTGCGTCATAAATAACTACGACAACCTTTATAAAGTAAAAGATAAATTCAACAAAATTGATTAGAATATTGATTAATATCAGAGGATCGCATTGCGCTAAACAAAGGATCAGGATATCAGGATTCATACATTTTTCAGGATCAACATTCATGACCTGGAAGTGACTCATTGACTGTAATGATTGGTTATTCCAGTAACAATATGCGTGATCTTCAAAACACGTGGAGCACATCAATTAAAACCAAAGTTAACGGTGAACTTAGCTCGATTTTGCTTATGACCGAAAAAAGACCACAGTATTCAAGTGCAGAAATTAACACTACAACTAGAGGCTACCTTCATAAGTGATATAACAGCGTCGATTATCAACAGCGAAATGGGGGCTTAATGGTGAAATTAATAATGGTGAAATTGTTGTGAACGCTGTGACATCGTTTGCAATAAATAAGAAAGCAAATGTGAGTTAAGAGGCTGCCACGAGAATATCATCAGGTAACATCGCACTATGTACATACAAATAAATAAATAACATATGGCAACAAAACGCAACGGAATGTGTGGAAGGGTACTCGCTTGGCGTAGTTCCAGTATTATTAAATAATATCTAAAAAAAGTCAAACAGTCACAACGTAACTCATGAGTTTCAAAGTAATATAAATAGATTTAAATAGAATAATACTTTTAAAAGTAATAGAAACGTAATTGAAGGATGTAGTGTTGTTATACGAAGTATTACGGCACTGCTTGGCATTTCAGACAGCGATTGTGACGCTTACCTCTAATGGATGCTGAAGATTCGGTGTAGGAAGAGAAACAAACCAAGTACGGGAAAATAACTATCCCTGATGCAGTTGAATAACCTACTTCTAAGACGAGAAGTTTTGATTCATTTAGCTTTGTCCGTCAGTGTTGAAAGCAAATTTCAAATGCCAGTCTCAACACCAGATCGAATGGAAAGATCTATGCGAAAAATGAAATCCCGCTACTTTTCGGGTACAACAAATAGCGTTATTACTAAATTAAAATCACTCGCAGGACGGTTTTAAACTTCGACTTATTGTACAAACGTAAAATTCCGAAGCAGACGAGCCTTGGAAGTGTGACGATAAAAGTGTGATTGGAATTGCATACGCGCACTGACGATATAAGAAGTTGTACGTGGCGCATTACATAACCTTTAAAATGCAGACTTTATTTCACTGGCGTTCAAGTGCAGAACCAACCGAGAGAACCCAGAACATATGCGTAGAGTTTTATGCGTTGTGTCTCGCTAGAATAATACGTACTAATAGCTGCCTCTGAATGTTATAGTTTCAAGTGAAGAGGACAACAGCGTCCTTCATTAACAAGAGGTCACAATTCCTCGCGGAACATTCGCATAATTGCACACACAAGAGAAAATAACCTGAGTCGGTTGGCATGAGAATGGTTATTTTTACACATCGAGAGTCAAAAGATGCGAAACGAAAGAAGTTAGAATTCAATGATTACACTTTTACAAGCTGCCTTCTTAGCCTGCCACACGAGGTCTTGCTGGAGCAGCTCTTGTCTTTGCATCTTCAACTTAAAAGGGTCGACGTTGGCACCGATGCTCTGCATGCCGCGCGCCAGCTTGCCGGCTCCAGGAGCCAGGCTCTGGACACCTTTGGCGATCGCATTAAAAGGCGCGCCAAAGACGCCATTTTTCTGGAAGGCAGCAAGAGGAGAAACAGGATTGGAGTGAGCAATGGGTTGCCCCAAGAGCCCTTCAGATCTGCTAGCAGACAGATGCAGCTGCAGGCTTGCAGTCGAGCTTGCCCTGAACATGGAAGATGACGCCTCGGCCGCGGCCGTCGCTGCGGAAGAGCCGTCCCTTGGGTCGACCTCGTCCGAAGAATGCGAAAGTTTGCGTACGCGCTGCGACGTGAGCGGCGTCAGCTGGAACAGCGGCGAGACGGGGGGCAGGGAACACGGACCCGCCGAGGACTCCAAGCAAGAACTTACGAAAATCTCGGGGGTGAGGGATCGGTTAGGAGGAGCAAGAGGCGACAGCGGGGGAGTGAGGTAGTGGTGGTGAGCATTAGAGTGCAGGAATCCCTCGCTCATGCATCGGGTGAGCGGAGACGACGGCCGAGGGAAGGGTGAGGTCGCTGTGGCAGGGATGCTAAGGTGGGCCTGAGTTGTGACCGAGGACGCCAGCACACCGCAGCTCGCTAGGTGGGCTTCAGGAGACGCGTAGCCCACCGGGTCGTCATCGAGAGTGTACTCCACTGACACGACGGGCTTCTGCTGTGTAATTGAAGGTATCATCAAATATCATGAGAATGAAAGGTGAACTAATGGCTTAACCCTTTACCCCCTGGCATGACGAATTCGTCACACAGAAAAAACATCGGTTTTCCAACAATTTCACGTTTTCTGTCATTTTTTCGAAAAATTCACAGGAATAAAAAAAGTCTTAGATTTATTTTTCTTGGATTTATTTTTTACATATGTGTACCAAGTTTCAAAGTTATCTGTCGGTAAGTAACCGAAATAAAATTTCCAATTTCCAATGGCAATGTCCAATTTCTTATGGAAATTCTATTTCGGTTAATTACTGACAGATAACTTTGAAACTTGGTACACATATGTAAAAAACAAATCTAAGACTTTTTTGTTCGTGGGAATTTTTCCAAAAAAGTGAAAGAAAACGTGAAATTCTTAGAAAACTGACAAAAAGGGGGTACTGTAGAAATCTATCACCTCCTGTGATTTTTGAGATACAACATCGAGACGCATATCATTCGATGCGTAAGGACCATATCTATCGATTGGTTCTTGCTGTTTTTCAAAATTCTAGTTTTTGTGGGTGGGGTGGGCATTTTTCGAAAAAATTGGTTTCTCTCCCCCCCTTTTTGAATTTCCCCTCCCCTTTTTTCAAAATATTTTCAAAACTATAACGAAAATGAAAAAAAGCTTCGACCAATCTCTAGATCTTTTATTTGCGAATCGAACGGTGTATTACTCATTGCTGTAGCTTAAAAACTCTGGGAGGAGATAGGTTTGCAGTGACAATAAGTGTGAATGTTCAGTAGGGCGCGACAAAGTCCCGAGCCCCTCAAAATAGGCATTCAAGGTGACATAGATGCAAGACTAGACATTACTAGAGCCGAAATTCAGTCAAGGATGGTGGGAACGACTGCATGAGCACCATCCCACACGACAGCAGCCGGGTAACTAAAGAATAAATGTTAAAGAACTCCCCCACCCCTAACCCTTTCACGAACTGTCGTCAAGGCATAAATCAACGTACAGAGACGATTTTGGTACCGTTGGATAGGTCAGAATGTCAGCTTTGAAGTGAGACTTAAAACCGAAAAAGTGAATTTTACGATTTTCATCCCAAAAATTCAGGGCGTAAAGGGTTAACTAAACTGCAATAACTGCACAATGATATAGAACGATCTGGAGATTAACTAGAGCATTTTGCAATAAACAATTCATACCCAAAAGTGAACTAAACACCCAGCAGCGGGCAAATTCAGATGTTAATAACTGGGTCTGTAATGATAGTCAAAGTAAAAATACTAACACAATGCTTGTCTGAAGATAGAATAAAACCAGGCAATATTGAGGACATGTCCCAACAGACCATTTCTAGTTTGAAACAAATTTTTCAAATACCGCGAGATGCCTCGGCTCCAAAGGGTTGGTGAACTGGCAAAATTCACAATATGAGAAAAAATAATAGAGTCGGGAACAGAAACAGAAGATGTGTCGCGGGAAGCAGAGGAAACATTGCAAAGCGCAGTCGCATAGGGGTAAATTTTGGCGAGCGAGCCAAAGGTTCGCAAATTTTTCGTAGGTACAGACGTTCGTAGATATAGACGTCACCTGAACTGGCTAATTCGCAAGTACATGTAATTTTTAGCGTCACAGCTCAGACTCGACACTCTCCCGCAACCGCATACCGATCAGTATTGGCTCATCTTGAAAACGTCCAGAGATTAATAAAAAAATTAAAAAATTTGCTTTCTCTCAAGCCTACTCTTTTCTAAATATATTCACCGAGCTAACTGGACCGATTCATAAAATAAGTCCCATCTGACTACTTCTAATTCTAGCAGGACTCTTCGCCGAGGTTCTTACAAAAATCAAGCTATTTTGATGAAACTTCAGCTCAAAACATGCACTATCAGGGCGGCTATCAACCACGCATGGGAGACAACCGTCTGCAAATCTAATACGCTGCTGTGGTATGGCTATGAACTGCAAAGATGGTCGGAGGTCAGTATAATTATTACGATGTTTTATAACTTATATCGAAGCGCACAGCTCACGCCACTCCCCGCCCACCTGCTGATAGAAGGTCGAGGTCGGGGCAGAAGGCGGCCGAGGTTTCCTGAGGCTGTTGATGGGGTTGAGACGAGCCAGACCAGACGTCATGTTATTGAACGCTCTGCTCCCTGCAAGTATGGAACATTAAGCTTCTGTTGTCCGCAAATAACATATTGCTAATCACTTTCAAAAAATTAAAATTTAAAACCACCAATTTTCAAATTTGTATCTTGTTGAACACAACTATGACAATTCTCATAAAATGTATTTATAAGACAAACCTTTTATGAGAGCAATGCGCTATGAGAAATCAATTTCTCCGAGCACCATACAATGCAGGTAAAACCTGACTCCAAGCCAGCAACAACAATAACAGAAACTATCCAACATAGGCTGTTAAATCAGTAAATCTGATCATACCGGCAATCATTAAATAGGATCATACCGGCAATCATTAAATAGGATCATACCGGCAATCATTAAATAGGATCATACCGGCAATCATTAAATAGGATCATACCGGCAGTTTTGAAGGCTCCCTGAGAGGGCTTAGAGAGGGTGGCGAGGGGAGAGCTGAAGAGACTGAGTGGGTTGAGAGAGTGGGAGGAGCGGCCCTTGCTTCTCCTCTTCTCGAGACGGGGCAGCAAGACGAGCTTCACCTCGCAGCCTATGAGCTCCACGGCCACCTGGAAGGTGCTGCCTATCGCCTTCACTGACTCTGCACACAATAAGTCATAATCAAGAACTTACATTAAATAATTTCGGACAAAAATTGCTCTATTTCATAAAATGCGACGAAAAATACAACCGTCACAGATTGATTCTATTTGCTGTTCTGTTAGAGGTTCCAAGGTGTTCTACACATAGGGAGTCCTGAGCCAAGATTGACATGGGAGTAATCACATGCTTATTGAATGCGTGCAAGTACAATTCAGAGTTATTGAGATAGAAGTACAAAGGAACAACAGCTGAGAATACTTTACTCTTCCTTGATGCACTGACTACAATATAAGTAATAGAGCACATAAATGGCGCCATAGAATCAAACATTAAGTAATACAGCACATAAAAAGCGCCACAAATTCCAAACATTATCCTGCCATAGAGACTTTTGAAGCCGTCACCTGTCTAATTTAGAATCCATGACCTGCCTAAAGCAACGCAAGAACACAATCGTTACAAGGAACGCACCCACTCTCTCCTCCTCGGTGCGGATGGTGACGGCGATGTTATTGAAGAAGCGGATGTTCATGGAGCGCATCGTGTGGAAGTAGCCAGGCTGCTTGTCCTCTCGGTAGCACAGACGCAGGCAGTAGTGTACCCGCGACTGCTTGAACACGCTCGGACTGCACATGCAACGATCTTTCAATCACGACAATTGCCTTATTGCAAGTTTGGATAGCAGCTTCTCATCGTCGAGAAAATTTTAACTAGAATTGTGCAAGAAATAATAAGGCAAGATATTGATAATTAATAAGGCAAGATATATTCTGTTCTTAATAAGGCAAGATATTGATAAAAAGATTGTGGAAAATCTTGTGCGATGCTCAAATTTTAACATTAATTCGAAGTTAATCATAACTTGACAGCAAATGGTGACTTTCCATTACACACGTACGACAGCAAAAAGTCACATCACGACAGCTGAAAGTGCATTTATTCCAATTCCAGGAGAAGGATTCGTGTTTGAAGCGAAAAATTCAGCATGATACTGACAAGGAGCAGCAGTAACAACAACAACCCTCACAAAGAGCGGCAGTAACAACAACAACAACAACAACCCTCACAAGGAGCAGCAGTAACAACAACCCTCACAAAGTAGCAACGGTATCAACAACAACCCTCACAAGGAGCAGCAGTAACAACAACAACCCTCACAAGTAGCAACGGTATCAACAACAACCCTCACAAGGAGCAGCAGTAACAACAACAGTAACAACAACCCTCACAAAGTATAAGTTCCCAGTTCAATGGCGTCGAGGTCGATGAGAGAGACGCGCTGGTAGCCGGTGATGCGGTCGCTGGCCTCGTCGTACTGCGCTACGTAGTACGAGTCTCGCGTCAGCACCACGATCGTATCCATGTCCACTTGGTCAGGGTCGCCCGTGCTGGTCATAACAAAACAGACAATAAATACTAATCTTATTATAGTGATCAAAACCAATGTTAAATAAGAATTGTATTGTCCCACAGTTGAGGTTAACGTATTCAAGATGTCGAAGGGAAAAGGCATCATCAGAAGAATGTTACGGTAATAGTCAAAACAAGAATTAATTTTATGCCCTTGGTTAGATCATTCTGACCCAATTTGGTCCGGCAAAAAAGCGTATCTGCGCACCCCTTCAGTTTTCTGGGTAAGGAATGTAACTCCTTGAGGAAAAAACGTCTGCCACTCACTGTGGTCATTATCAATGAGTTACGCCTGCCACTCACTATGGGTCGGCATCGATAAGCCCCCAGGCGCCCAGGACGGTGTGGGCGTCAGGGACGAGCCAGGTCTGGGCATCGTCTATGACGCTCTTGACTTGCTGGGCGACAGCGTTGGCGTCCTCCTCCTCTAGGGGCGCCGCCCCGCCCCCGCGCTCCAGCTGCTCCAGCTCCGGCGCCACGGGGTTACCTGCGAGGCATGGGCGTCTCTGGTGGCTAGTTGTCGCGTCTCTGGTCGTTAAATGCCGCGTCTCTGGTCGCTAAATGCCGCGTCTTTGTCGCTAAATGTCACGTCTTTGGTCGCTAAATGCCGCGTCTCTGGTCGCTAAATGCCGCTTCTCTGATCGCTAAGTGCAGCGTCTCTGGTCGCTAAATGCCGTGTCTCTGGTGGCTATTTGCCGCGTCTCTGGTCGTTAAATACCGCGTCTCTGGTCACTAAATGCCGCGTCTCTGGTCGCTAAATGCAGCGTCTCTGGTCGCTAAATTTCGCGTCTCTGGTCGCTATTTGCCGCGTCTCTGGTCGCTAAATTTCGCGTATCTGGTCGCTAAACGTCGCGTCTCTGGTCGCTAAATTTCGCGTATCTGGTCGCTAAATGCCGCGTCTCTGGTCGCTAAATGCAGCCGCGTCTCTGGTCGCTATTCGCCGCGTCTCTGGTCGCTATTCGCCGCGTCTCTGGTCGCTATTCGCCGCGTCTCTGGTCGCTCTTTACCGCGTCTCAGGTCGCTATTTGCCGCTTGAACAATTGACAATGATTGTTTGACAAAAAGCAGTAAGATCAGTGTTGACAATCGCCGATGCGTGTCGTCATAAAGTGTGAAAGAAGTCATTATTCAAGTTCAAGAATAAATGGTCAGAAGAACAAGATCTGAAAAATAAAATGAATATATAATAATCCTAGCCTTTTTGTGTCAGAAAAGATAACAAATTTCAAAAGAATTTTAAAATAATTGTTTATATAGTACGCTCACGGCCGAATAAATTTGTGAAAAATTCAAGCAAGTTAAAACTTTATTTCTTAATTTGCAATCTTTACAAAGCTATAAATGATTTAATTAATCAGAAATATTGTCTGGGAGCGGCCAGTGCTATGGGTAGGAGGTTCACTAACCGAGCATGTGGTCGATGGTGGCTTGCCGGTACACGTCCTTGAAGCGGTTCATGTAGTACCTGTAGGCGACCAAGCCATTCACTATACTACGCGTACTCAAATATATTATCAAATCAACGTCAAATACAATAAGAGTACTAAATAAACTTTCTAGTTGGGACGGTGGCAAATTTCTGGCATCAGACGTTCACAAAGCCATAACAAGAGCCTGTATGATTATATATGAGTCGCAATTAAAACAGGATTTCAGCCACTTGGAAAATTGAAAACTAAACTCGTTACAATTATGCTGATAATAATAAAGACGCTCATCATAATCATTAACAATGAACAAAATGAAATAGAAATTGAAGAGCATAATGACAATGAAACAACACTCCAATTAAACTAAGACACCGTTCCCCTAAACGCACAATTATACCCGAGATTAAAATGAACTAAACACACAAATAACGTGCACAAGAAAATAGTGTGAACCCAAAAAATATTTCGGTCCATATCAACTCAGTCTCAGCAGATAAAAAAAATTAGACCATTACGTAAGTCATCAACACCGTTAGTTTGGTTATGTTAATCTTTCTCTTGAAGCCGTGGTTCCCAACTTTTGCTATGGATCACTTGTGGCACGCTATAGCACCTCTTAATTAGCTGGTACGTAAACACTTTCGGGGCTATGTGAATGATTTTGTTAGTAACTTCCTTATTCACAAAAAATGTTCCCTCGCAATAATAATTATCGACAGGAGATATTCTGGCCTTGAATTGTAACTGCCGCCTCACGCCTTCCACCTGGTCCCAGCGACCAACCGTCAAATTCGAGCAGTGAATCTCAGTGTGTATTGCCTTGCTTTGCAACAATAATTACAATACACAGTAAGAGAACACGTAAATATACACCCCTATTCTTATCACTTCTATATGTTAGCAGCAAACATGTAGCATTAGTTGGCGTAAGAAGCGGGCATTGGGTGCTAGTACCAATCAAATGCCCCAAGTGGTATCTACTTTACGGCGAGGAAGGTTGGGAACCACGGCTTCACACCACCATGTTTAGCACCTTAGTTCAGTAGGTAACCCATGGCGTTAGTTACACCCACACGAGGACCAGCCATTAAAGCAGTAGAAGTCTTCAAGTGCTTCAATACTATAGGATGATCGTTCAAGTGTTGAAGTGGACAATTAATTCTTCGGAGTTAATTATGCAAGTGATCTCTTCAGAAAATTAGTGAAACTCACAGCCGGTGCTAACGCCACAATAAAATCTACTCTTTCCCAGCTTTAATCTTCGATCACCATAAAGTTAGCGCCATGACAGACCCCTGTTGGCAGCGGAAATAATCAGTTACACAGCGATCCTTTCGTAAAGTTTGTAAATAGAAGCGTTAGTAACCGCAGCCCCATGGGAACGAGGAGCAGACCTGGAGGTTGACCCCAAGCCACTCCAGAGATCGTCAACGTTCCACGTGTAGGGATTGCTGGACGGTGTGTCAGGAGGCACCCCCAACACGATATCTATGGCAGTCTGTCGGCAGCTGTCCGACAATGAGGACTGTAGGTACCTGCGCTCGTTCCCAATACAAAATGCTGACTGAACGCTGGTCGGTTTGTGGTGATTTATTCCCAATACTGACCAAATTTACAACGTTCACAAGAGTTCTCTTGACCACTACTTCAAAGACAAATAATTGCGTTCATATAGTTACGAAATTTTGATGTTTAGCGTGTTTCTTTCTCATCAAAACTGAAAAAACAAACGGTGCAGGTAAACATGCGAAGGCATTCTTTCCTCGTGCGGGCGCAATGCACTCAAGCATACAAATCTCAAAAATGCCGAATTTTTTCGTCTTTTTATTTTATATTCTAAAAGAAACCTCTGTTTAAAAGAGTAAAGTAACAAGAATGAACTAAGAACTAAACAAAAAAAAGAGACTAAAGTAACAAGAATGAACTAAGAACTTCCACACATCTACAAGGAACGCTCAACGCTAAGCCACCCGAGCTCTCATTCCCAAGGCATATTAATGTCCTCATGTTTACCTGTTCGCGGAGTTCATGCCGTCCTTCATCAAACTGGAAAACTTCCGTTCGCCAGTTCGAGTAAAATCCCCCTAGACAAAAAGTTTTGAATTACCAAAGCTTTATAATATGAGTGGAGAGAAAAACTATTCTTGTATAAACGCTCAGATCAAGACATCTCACGCTACATATTTCCTTATATTTTAATATACCTAGCGGTGCTAATCTGATTTCGGATACAAAACATAAAATACATCACATTTTTTTAACATTTATTAAAAATAAATAGTATGCCAAGAAGAGCCTTCCTAGCCGCTGCCAGTCCTCATACAGGCTGGGTCGTTTTCATTGGTTTAGGGGATCCCGACAACTTGCTCCTTAATTCGTGTCAATCTATTAACGTTAACACTAAATATGTCAGCTTCGTGTATCAGTTTATTCAGTTACTATTAATAAAAATAACGCCAATGCTCATTGAATTTGTACATGCATCATTTATTCACGTCGACTTCTTTTACTACCTACTTCTAAATTGATCGGTATAACAAAACCACAAATTTCACATACAAAAAATGTAAAGCAACTAAGCCCGAGCTGGGCCGGCCAGCGCGTATGACTAACACGGCTTTTGACATACATGCACATGAACTACCGTGACTTGCCGAAAGGCGTTCATCTCTCATTAGGTACATAGGAGCGAAAGATGCCGACGACCAAATGCCTTATTTGACTGTCCAACCGCCGGCCATGCATCAGCCTCCTGAAAATCAACCTTAGCTTTCAGCCAGCGTAGCCCCAGTAATCTGGCTGAAGTGACTGCAACATCGAAGGACAGCAGCTCAGACTAGGATTGAGCAAGCGTGGCAGCGTGGTGCTGCTACCGCCGCTCACGGTCGGTAGAGCACGCCGAGGAAATGATACGAGTTGGTGTAGCCGACGCAGGCCTGCATAGGGTGTGTTGCAGGAGCTAATCTGGAGGGCGTGGGTACCGGCCTATTACCTACTGAAGGTACGCGGTGTGTACTGAAGGTGCATAGATGGTTCTCACCTTGAGGGCGTGGGTGCCGGCGTACTGCCTGCTGAGGGTGCGCGGTGTGTACTGAAGGTGCGTAGATGGTTCTCACCTTGAGGGCGTGGGTGCCGGCGTACTGCCTGCTGAGGGTGTCGCCGTTGTTGGCCCACATGGCGTTAAGAGCAGCGCGGCAGAGGGCGGGCAGAGGCTGGTCAGGGGCCAGGAGGCCGAGCTTCACGAACTGACCTTCCAGAACCGTGCGCGCGATCGCCGTCTGAGGGTATGAAAAAAACGCGTGTCACTGTTAGCGGTGATGCATGATGGGTATATATATCGAAATTCTCATGAAATATGATATAAGTTCTAAGTACCAGAGTTCAATGTTTTATACAGAGACACACATTTCAGATTTCACATTTCAAACAATATCGAGGCAAACTTTGAAACGTGAAGTTCTGCAATGAGCAAGCGTTCATTACAACAAGTCGATAATCGTTGCAAACCTGCACGACATTGGTTCTGTCCAGACAGTCGATGCAGTTGACGCGGAAGACAGCTTTTTGTTGACAGATGAGGCCTTGTTTGTCGACCCAGCAGTAGCCAGCTGATTGCAGCACAGGCGCCAGCTCATCCAGCAGCACACACACGTTCTCGTAGCGCAATCCACGGCTGACACAACAGACGGAAAAATAATAACGACATATCGAAAAGTGGGCTATGGTCTGTGGACTATTTGGCAAATTAAAAATCATATTTCGACACGTCTCAATTTCAAAGTAAAAATATAAACTATGAAGGCAGAACGTAATCATCATGGGCTGAAGCATCGCAGAATGAAAGCTAAAATTATTCATAACTTCCTTCTATGATATAAAAACAAATATTCATTTAAAATTAAATTGCATCGTATTGAGTAAATTTATTCATACTGGTACACTCACTGAAATCGGAGTAACAGAAGAAGCTGAGAAGTTCACTGACCAGTACTCGTGGAAGTCGAAGGTAACGTAAGTGATGCTGGGGGAGTTAAGTTTAAGGATGTGGTCGAGGTAAGCATCAGCAATAACTTTCTCCCGCCCCGCCTGCTCGACGAGACTCACGCACACCAGCCGCTCGTAGCGCGACAATTCGCCGCTCATGTGCCGACCAAACGCCGCCTGTGTCTCCTCAGCACCTGAGGGCAACACCTTACATACTTGAGCATGGTTATGCAGGTAATTATAGCTACTGTAGTAAGGTAATAGTTCAGCAAGGCAGGAAAATTTATATCAAGGAAGATTTATATCAAGCAATGCTACTGCAGGAAGATTTATATCAAGCAATGCAGTAATATAGCTGTGCTATGTGGAGGGGTAATAGTTCAGTAAATAGTTCATCCCTAACGGAAGTTGCGGAGTCACGGCTTGAAAGCCACTTGCGCCACGAGGGCGGTAAAGGGTCTCAGCAGATCTAAGAACCATCAACTACTTCTAACGACAGTATTTTGAGTCTTTCTTAACAAGCTTTCCACGCTTTATTAAATCCAGGAATTTATTCTAGTCAAAATGAAGATAACTACTGGATGAAGCAGAAGCAAAGCTGCTAACCAAACTAAGCATGACTTCAAGGATGCAGTTGGTATGCATTTTCATGATCGCGAGTGATATTGTGACGAAGATGAAACCGACACAGTCTTTACTTTTTGAACACATGCAATAAAATCAAGCTAAAAATACATTCCTTAAATTGACATTGTGAACGATGAACTTCGTTCACTATTAGCCGTGTTCATTTTATCTCGTGGGCATACCGAAAGCCACATCTAGCGTAGCCGCCTTGGTAACATTTATGTCGGACCTTACTCGGGCGATAGCGACGTAGTGCAAGGTCAGGTCTGAGCGGCTGTGAGTCAGGTAGTTAGTCGTGTCCCGCCCGCCCTGCAGTGAGGTTCTAACCTGAACTCACCTCGCTCCGTTGCTAAGTTAGCGATTTTGTGCTCCAACGCTAGTTCTTGTGTGGCTGTGCTCTATATGCTCCATCAAGCAGTGTAATGTCTATCGTGCTTGTTCTGTCATTTTTTAAACGTATCCCTTTCAAGTGCTTTGCTGAAATAAAACTAAGTTTTACCGTGTTAACCGAAGTTTCAATGAACGGAATCCTAGTGCAATAAAGTGCAATTTAAGTAGTAGCAGAGTCCTTAAATTTTTTAAATGATAGTTTCCGGCGTTTGGCCATAAGTGCTCTGATCATTCTGACAAGCTTAAGGGTTGCGGCAGGCGTCCGGTGATAACATTAAATCACTATAATTAAATAATCATATTAACAATGCAGTGCAACGAATCTAAACTGAAGATAAAAAGCCACCCACCTTTGTCGAGGCGTGGCGGAGGGCGATATTTGTAGCCTGGTTGACTCCAGAATACGGGTACTGAGCCTCGCACCTGTGAAGGAATAATCTCCATTGAAATATAAAACACACGGTAATCCTGGCTCAAAGTCTCAAAAGTGTTCAAATATGACCGAATCAAATGAACGGCGATTAAGTTTGAAATTTTTTTTCATCCCATTCGGCAGCATTACCAGTTGAAATGTATGCCAAATCTTTTTAGAACCTCACTCATCCCATGCGATAAGTTTTACATGCTTCATAAAATTGTGATTTAAACAAATAAAGATAAGATATTGGAATGGCATTAAAGTGAGATAAGTAAAGATTATTTGAATTGATACTCAATAACTCTTAAATAGAGAGATCATTGTTATGAAGCAGTGACCTGGACGAAGGCGACGACGTGTTTGTTGAGCGCGACGATCTGCTCGGTCTCGACGTAGTTAGCGACGTGTCCCTCATCGTCTACGCCGCGACGCCTGTAGCGCGTGCCCGCGCGGTGACGACTGCGGCGCGAGATCACGCACATGCTGTAGTAGTCGCCCGGCTGCTCGGCCGTGTTAATTATAGTTTACAATTATAATTATGAAAAAATGAATAATTCAAGGTGATTACTATAAGATTATTGTAGAGGCTGCGGCGCGAGATCACGCACATGCTGTAGTAGTCGCCGGGCTGCTCGGCCGTGTTAATTATTGTTTACAATTATAATTATGAAAAAATGAATAATTCAAGGTGATTATTGTAAGATTATTGTAGAGGCTACGGCGCGAGATCACGCACATGCTGTAGTAGTCGCCCGGCTGCTCGGTACAGCGGTTTATTGTTTATTAAAATAAAACGGTGTAAATTATTGATTATAATTATAATAAAATGAATAATTCAAGGTGATTATTATAAGATTATTGTAGAGGCTGCAGGCACACGCTGTAGTAGTCGCCGGGCTGCGCGGCACAGCGGTGTTAATTATTGTTTATAATTATTATAATAAAATGAATAATTCAAGGTGATGATTATACTAACGAAAGTTTCATCAGTTGAAAGAAAGTTCCATTTCGTTAGCGTGATTCATTTCTAAAGGTAACTCTAATGTTCCCGTTAGTATGATTGTTTGAAAGGGCAAAAAAAACTACCGAGAGATCGCTATTGTTACACTGAATATTTACACATGATCAGGACTAACTAATGGTCTTGATCATGTGGCATCAGGACGTCATTATATCCTCCACATTTCGGCTTAGCATGCAGCATATTAGTAACTTTAAATATTCAAATAATTTCAACAAAATAACCTCACATTATAGGCTCATTGATGACATCAGAGGTCTATGATATATCATTGATGACATCAGAGGTCTATGATATACCATTGATGACATCAGAGGTCCATGATATACCATTGATGACATCAGAGGTCTATGATATACCATTACTGACCTGAGCGTTGGTGGTCTCAGTGTTAGTGTCGGGCGTGTCCATGGGCACAGCTTCTATCTGCACGAAGCCCTGGATGACAGGCACCACCCACACGTCCGACGCGCCTGGCTGCACGCCCCATACTAACTCAATACCATCATACACGTTATATCTTATTTATTAGCACAATTGTCTCACTACTTTTAAAATGGAGGCCAAACAAGACCAATCACTGATCGTATAAGATACACATGCCATATAAATTGTATAAGAACTTAGGTAGTCCGCGTTTATCGAGCGCAAGTCTGACCAAGTCCTATGTTACAAACTAAAATAAACCTCACGGTTTACGAAGAATTTTAAAATGCAGACACTCACGGTATCTGTGATGTAACCATCATGAAGCAGTTCCAGCACCACACTCACAGTATCAGCGATGAAGTCCTTCATCATGAAGCAGTTCCAGCACCACACTCACGGTATCAGCGATGAAGTCCTTCATCATGAAGCAGTTCCAGCACCACACTCACGGCATCAGCGATGAAGTCCTTCATCATGAAGCAGTTCCAGCACCACACTCACGGTATCAGCGATGAAGTCTTTCATCATGAAGCGGTTCCAGAAGAACCTGTCGTCCGCGCGCCGACAGAGCGGGTCGCTGGCTCTGTACTGGGCGCTGTTCTGACGCTGCACGGAGCTTGTGAGGTCGGCACCGTCGTGGCAGAAGTAGAAGGACTCGCCGCACTCAGACTCGTTGAACATCTTCAGCAGCTCGTCCAGGATACGGCGCTCGTAGCGCTCCCTGTCCTCCCGACGTAGTCGGCTCTGCACCACAGATACGTCGATCATGTACAGGAACATTCGTACAGGGTGATTCTTGGAAGATTTTTGACAGTCTGATCATATTACGGAGGATCTTTCAAATTCATAATGAAATCTCATGTAACAATGAGAAGTATAAGAACATAAAAACATGAATGATTGAATTTAGAATCGTCGATCAAGCTCGGTTAGTTAAAAAAATCATATGAGGGCTATAAAATACATACTTTAGAACATCTAATACCTAGAAAAGTATCCAGAACAAAAGAACATCAATGAGGATGAGAGGAATCGACTTAATAATATATAGACCTGTCCGGTGGCGTTAGCTGCCACGCTGGCGGTGGCAGAGCGCAGTGAAGACGTCACACTGCGCAGGGTGCCGAATGTCTTGGACAAACCAGCCCGGGGGTCTGGGATGCCGCGCCGCTCCTGGCTGAAAGTATAGCAATCAAACAATAAAATGTATAGGCTGTTTGCAGCACCAAAACATTCTCCAACTCAAAGTTATTTTGTCTTTGATAACTTTTAATCAATTTTTATGAGAAAATCTCTTTTTATTCTGTCTTTGATAACTTTTATTCAATTTTCATGAGAAAATATTTTTTCCAGGTCACAACCAAGATTCTGAGTATTCACAAGCATCAAAATGATACAGAATGATGATATTTTCCAGATGAAACTGAGGTGACATGAGATGAAATGAAGACTAAAGAAATGCACATTAGGAATAGATCCAATGCATAATATAAAAAGCATGCAAGCAGTTCTTGGACAATAAACTAAAATATACCAACAAAAATGCATGGCGCTAATACATGAGCTACTCACCCAGAGTTTTGTGTGTTCTGGTGCTTCTGGCAGGGGTGGAACCCCAGCATGGCATGGGTACTGGCATCCAGAGGCAGGGTGCTGAGTGGCAGGAAGCACACCCTTCTGATGCCGTACACCCGGCATCCCACACCTCCGCCTCCATACACTGGAGAGCCAACTTCCCGAACTCCAGTTACTAGGGCTAAGCGTGGTGGCAGGTCTGTTGTCAAATAGAACATGAGGCATGATCAATCATGGCGCTAAGTTTACTTTACTTAGTTACGGTATACTTACTTTACATAGTTTACTTTACTTAGTTACTTACTTTACATAGTTTTCTTTACTTAGTTTACTTTACTTTACTTACAACCTCCCGAACTCCAGTCACTAGGGCTAAGCGAGGTGGCAGGTCTGTTGTCAAATAGAAGATCAGGCATGATGGCAATCTCTTTGGAAGCAAACAATTTGATCAATTACTGAACAAACTAAAGCATAGTAACAACCTTCATATGTATCTATGGCACACCTTCCATCGGCCCAGATAGCCAGACTTGTCTTCTTTCAATAAAATGATTATTTTTGCAATCACCTGAATGAATTTGCAGTTTTCCCAGCATGGTATGGACCACCCCAAGACACACTGGATTTTCAGCAGAAGCAAGATCCCAACCTGAAATAAATTGAAATAAAAACCATGCCAATCTCATAACCATATAAGAGCAGTGTCATAAGAGCAGTAGTGGTAGTTTTTGAATCTTATAATTTAAACAATAGATATTTTACACACTATGACACTGCCAAAGCAGCCACCACAGGGCACAACCATTGATTTATATGCATATACCTATCTACTTAGTTTCAATGCAGTAAAATTCAATAATCTTAATTCAATTCATTAGGATTAAGTAAAATTATAATCTTAAATAGTTTATGTACATATTTATGCAAGTTAAATAATTTAAATAATTATATTTAGACTTTGCATATAGCATAATAGTTCAAATCAAAAGCTATATTAGTTAGAATCACAAATTACATGATGCTTTGTTTACATTTTGGAACATTAGACAAAATACCATGGAAAGGATAATGCAAGTTTATGAAAATTTTGCTATGCCCATTGTTTTGGACCCAATGTACAATAGGCCATGCAGTTTGTGCAGGACTATCTCAATCTGATGGCACTTGATTAGTACACTGAACTGTGCAGAGCAAGTGGCCAGGTCACTAGTATAAATATGTGCATAGCCAAGGATATGATTGCACTGATTGCAGCAACTCACATTGAATGTACCTGAGGTCACTAATACAGATACTATTGCATAGTCACATGGCACAAGGATATGTTTGAGCGTAAACTGCATAGGTATATGTTCAACACCTGCTACTGCCAACAGCTGTAGTTTGCAATGACATCATTATATCCTCCTACATTTTGGCTTAGCATGCAGCATATTAGGAACTTTAAATATGTACAATGCTTGCTGATGCCAATAGCACCGGCACCTGCAGTGGTGCAATGACGGAACTCTACCTTCTAAATGTGTACCTATGAATGTACCTATGCCATTTGTACATACATTTACTGCCTGTGACAGCGGTAGCGACTGCAGCTTTGCAATGATGTGATTGTATCTTTGTGCCTTGCAGCTATGCACATAACGTATGACCATTGCTGTTTTCAATTCAATATTTTACTGATTCTCATTCTAGTGCATGTACCATCCCTAGACCCAACTAAAGCCCTCACCTTCCTGTATGCCATTTCAATGTAAATACCACTTGTCACCTTTATTTTTAGTTCAACTGGTTGGACTGGTCTTGTGTTTGTTTTCCTGCTATTAGAGTTGTCTTGTTAGTTGTCTTTGCTGGATGAATGACAAAAGCCAAAACTATACTGGCCTTACTGGGCCTTTAGAAGACGAGTGTGAGAAGACCCCTAACACTGGGTGCTGCAATCCACTCAGCACAAATTGATCAGATTGAGAGTCCTGCACACACTACACAATCCATTGGTTTTGAGAAGCCTATTTTGAGCAGGAAAATTCTATGAAACCCCACATTTTCCTTGAGTGTCCATTGTCCAAAGTGCAAAGGGTGGGTAGATATTTTGAGATCTTATCAATATATCAACAGCAAAAATTAGGTATATCTTATGAAGACCTTGCAATACATATTTTTTAATCAACTATCTACATGTATTTTAGGCAAGAAATCTTGAAGCCTTCAAGTTGACAGTTTAGGCAGTTCTGGCAACAAAACCTCAATAATACTGACAACAATTTAGGCCTAAAATCCCAATCTTGGCAATGCAGTTACCAAACTCTGCTTAGTGGCTAAGTCTGGTACTTGGTTAGAATTTCCCTACTTATTACTGAAATTTGCAGCTTGAGAGAGACTAATTTTCAATAAATTTGGAATCTTGTAACCAAATTGTGCACTTTCCATAACAATAAGTAAGTAAGACAAGAGGTAATTCATCCAGCAGGAATCTTGCAACTCCAAATATGGAAGGAAAGTTCAAAAGGTTCTGCCCATCTTCCACATTTTTGTTTCATATTAAATGGGATTCAATTCATTCAAATGTCAATAAACCACAGCTTTTGTATTTGCTCTACTTTCCATTAAACAAAAGCCTATTCTAAATGCTGTATACAGTTCATATCTGCTCAAAATTTCAAATAGATATGTTTGTCTGCTGAATGCTCATGCTTACCTCATTCTTATTTGTTTTCATTGTAATCATTTGACAATTTATGTTTTTAATACCTTCAATGTGAATTTAATTTTGATAATTGATTGTACTTGTGTTTCAGGCTTATGAACTGCTGATGGAGGTGAACTCTGTAATGGTTTCTTGCATAAGAAATGGTTAATTTTTCACTATTTTTTTTTGCTTCTAAATTCTTGATAAACTTGTGATTTGAGCAGTCAATTGATCTTAATTCAGATATGGCAGTTTGGCAGGTAGAGGGACATTTATTTAAAGAGAAATCTTTTAGCAAGATCTTCTACAGACCTTCAGAAATTTGTATGCTGTGTGACCAATATATTTAAACCAATATCTTATGTTATGTATATCCTTTACTAATAAAATCAATTCCTTTTTTTTTTTTGTTGGAATGGTGAATGTGTGAGGCCTTTTTAAAAAAAAAAAAAAAAATAATAATAATATCTTATGTTTAATAATGCTGCTATGATGTTATCCAAGATACTTTGCTGGTCTACTTATAGGACTAAACATTGAACTTGAGGAATAGTCTAAAAAACTCACTGCTTTGCCACTATCTCAGAGTGTGGCAGTAATATTTGTATATATCACTATATGACATGACCATCCATTTTCTGGAATTCCACAATGACAATGGGCCTCACAAAACTTTAAAATCTTAGTAATTAGCAAATGAGAATGACTATATAAAATAATATTTATAAAATTCCACTTGAGGCAGCTATGATTCCTTGGGGGCTTGGACTGTGGACATGGTTATTGCATAGCAAAGCCTAACGAGTTTCTACGCCGACTACATTTCCGTACTAACGGTAGGCGTAAGGCACGTAGGTTCACTAGCACTAGGACTGTCTAGGGAACTAGGACTAGGTTGGAAATGCAATACTCACATGTTTTGTACTCATGATTGCCATTCCTTCGATCAAACCATAAAGAATGTTGCCCCTTATTTAAAATGTAGTAATCATTAGTGCGCAAAACTTCCATTGAAATTTAAGAGTACAGTTGCGTATGTCGCATAAGTGAACACTGAGCGGCTCAGCGGCATAACACGCAAACGTTCACTAATCGTGGGTGTAGTGTAGTTACCGTAGTAAACAAGAGGAGTGTCGAAGGACTGTGGTCACATCAGACTTTTGGTGTTTTTACTGTTGTCAGCTGGAACTAGATAAGGATACAATGACGATGAACGGATTCTCGAAAAATATTTATTTGCGACAGGATAAATATCAAAGTTTCACGTTTGACATTATAAATTGCACTTCATGCGCCTCAAAATCTATGTAAAGAATTGACAAGATATATGTAGGCAAGATGGCCCCGTGGTAAATTTCAGAGTACCAGCTCTATGCTCTATGCGCCAGTTTCTGGTCAGAATCGGCAAGGAGGCCGGGTGGTTCAGCACCATGGTTAAACCATGGTTAAGCACAGCAGAATTGTAGCAGTGAGTTGCGAGTTCGAAACCGCAAAATGCTGTGAATATTCTGCTGTTTTATGAATCGGCGACAGGCCTACGGCCTAATAAACGCTGAAACCCCTATTATATTATATATATTATTAAATATATCATAAATAATAACAATTAAAATGTTCGTCCGACACCAAGATATTGTTTAAGCGACTTCATAATGAGTACAATTGTCCATAACCAATCGTAACCAGTTAAACCGAGCTTTTTTTGAGTCGTAGCCGTGCGCCGTCAATTCAACTATTAACTAAGCCCTGGAGCAAAGGCATAACTCTTGAATGCAACAACTACAATCAGCCTTTAATTTAGACCAGTGACACATAGCTGAAGCATCCGCTGGATGTTCAATATTATTACGCAAATTTTTTGTTAAGGAATTTTGTTGAGCGTCTAGGGGACCTTAACGATTTGTGTAATATGTTGCGTGATATTCAGAATATTTAAAATATATTGCGCAAAATAGAAGTATAGTGCCATCTATGGGACTATATTATGCAATATCCGTTCAGTTCGGCGTTCCTAGAGGTCATTCCTTGCAATAGTTTTGATCGCTAGTCTTTACCATGGCGAGCTACGGAAACTTCTTCTAGACTTTTTTGAGCTTCATATTGGTGTGGAGTGTCTTCTAGCTTTATAGTGCGTTAAACGCATATATTATATTAATCTTACGAAAAACAGGAGCAGTACCCCTTTCTGCAACTCCAAGTTCGCTTGTGTTTGAGTAGTCGAAGCCCTTCAAGTTTTGATACCTGCCATCATACCTCTCCTACTAGCAACCTAATTTTGGCAAATCGGTCATTCCTACCATTTTTGACAGAGTTCTTACGTACATGTGTGTGCCATGCATAAATAACTTCAACTCTTACTTTCGAGGAGCAACATGGACTAGTTTCCAAGACTCCACCAACATTGAACAACAAAATGCTGGCGCCTGTCCGGCCAGTCATGCATTTACTGACTGTTGCCGGACAGCGCATGTGCAACTTCACGTCACGTCGCTTCACGTGTTTGCTGCTCCGCAGCATTCTTGCTCGCCACACTCTTGCGCCGTCCCGTGACATTTCTAACACAACCACTGGCTCCCAGCACCGCACGTGACACGTCTACTGGCTCTCGTCACCACAAGTGATACGTCCATTGGCCTCGTCACCTCGAGAAACGCATTTGCTACCTCATGCGCTCATGTTCGGCTCGGTTTTGTCGCCCAGTCACTCGATCTCACGACCCCTCGCTTCGTACCTGGTAGCAGCCGCCGTGCGAGAATACGCGCCCCTGCCTTCTCGCTCGTCTTGTGATCGTCACCCTTCTTGCAGCCTGACTTGCAGGTGACGTAGGCTTGAGATGGCTTGGCACCAAATAGGCTGATCAAAATATTTAGACAAGCTTCTTACATCCCCTCTATTTATCACAATCTGTTCTTTGAATTTTAAGTACAGGCGCCGATACTGTGATATTCTTTTATTTGATCAAAAATTTGAATATAAATTTGTTGCTCCAATTCTCCTGGTCCTGATCAGCTTTTCTTAAAATGAAGTTGAAAGCTAAGATGTGGTCGGTAATAAGCCTCCACACAGATACAGCTAAAGTTGGGTTTCTGAATTATTCTATTTTGTTGAGGCAATAATTTCATTTGTTGGTTATGTTTTTTTTTTCTGATGAAGTATACGCGCAACCTATAAGAGCACACAACGCAGCGTTGACACTTGACAGTAACATAACATCACCTCACCAGAATTACTTGCTATGATCCTGTGTAAACGGTTCATCCTTTTGAAAGCAACCGTAATTATTTCGTTAAACGATCGTCTTCTAATGTTTTTGAGTTTTATTTCATGATGAGAAAATGTTGAACCCGAACGTAATGCGTGCTACTGATGCCTCCAGAAAATACCTCTTCTGGTGTATCAACGAGCACATTGAGTTCCGAGTGCCGGTATGTTGTATCACTTTTATGTTGATTAAGCTACCCGTTTTTTTTATAATGATAAATAATGACTGGTATAAGTGAATAAAATGATGAATTGGGAAGAGAATATATTTGATTTCATCCAGTCCTTCTCAACATGGCATTAGGATGGCAATATTTGTCAACCAAATTAGCCTATCCTTGCCCTTGGACCTTTGACCTTTCCTGCCAGGCTGCCAGGCTGCCAGGGACACGTGTGCTTTACAATTGATTTTGCCAAAGCCCTATGAGTGGCTATGACCAACAGTGATGCACGCACCTGTGCAAACAATGCGGCTGTTGCTCATTAATGCTCAATGATTGACATAGTCACATAGATGCCTGTGCTTTACAATCAATGATCAACACAGATGCATTGCATGGCATGCATTTTATGATTGATGTGGCTGATGCCCACACTCAGGATGATGTATGTTTTTGGTGAATTTTCCCACGCATTTTCACTTTTTTTAAGCTATTGTTGTGCACAGTTGGCGCAATGTAATGAAAATTGATTATTTTCACGCACGTGTTCGGACTGTTCGCGCAATCCCGGCCATCTTTATTTTAGAATAAATTTTCTCCAAAGTCATATGGCAACACTGAACACCGTCTGTTTACATTTTGTATGTATAACAGCCGCAGTTTACGATTACCGTACGTTCCGTATCCGACAAGGCAGACAACCGGAAGAGTCAGAAATAACCCGGACATGTCTTACATTTTATTATTGTCAGTTCGACTCGCGTAGTCAATATACTCGCGTATATTGTCGACTAAAATAGTAGAACTATTTTAGCTTTCTAAAGTACGGCGCACGGCGCATTTTTTTACCAACGTAGTACGGCGCACCGTGCAGGTCGTTAAAATGACAAAATAAATTCCCACGCACCTGGCACATCTTCCTGACCATGGGCTGATGCTCATGCTTCACAAACAATGCTGCATGATTGACATGGATGCACTTATTTTACGACTGATGTGGCTAACGCTCATGATTTACAAACAATGCAGCATGATTGACATGGATGCATGCATTTAACGATTGGCCACATCAATCATAAAATGCATGCATCTGTGTCGAATGTCGATCATTGATTGTGTAAAGCACAAACATCTATGTTGATCATTGCTCAACAGCCGCATTAATTGCGCAAATGTGTGCATCATTGTCGGGCATCAACCAAATCAATTGTGAAGCACGCAAAATAGTTACTCATACCCATATGATCAACTCTTAACATTTAAATTAATGAATTCTCTGGGCATTAACCACATCTGTTTAAACAAGCTAATTTGCATCTAATATCTATTATAGGATTTTCTCATGATACAGCTGAACTACAAAACATTTTTTATTAAGATATGGGGAATTCTTGTAAAATTTTCCTTGCTGCAAAAATTCTAGTCAATTTGCTGGTGATACCAGTATGGAATTAGAGATGCGACGTAAAAAAAACACTCATGTTTTTTTTAATAAAAAACAAGTTTTTTTTAATAAAAAACATCAGCCTAAAAAAAACATGTTTTTTATTGTTTTTTTTAGAAAAACATAAATAAATGCAAATAAATCCATAATCACTTTACCTGAGGGCCACAGGAAAGGAAATGAAAAATTTGTTTATTTACCCTTTTAAGCTTTGAACTAGAAGTATTAGGCTTGATAAATTATAAATCACACATGAGATATGTTAAATAAGATTTAAAAACACATCATTTCAATGTATATTAAGGGTATAGATATATTGATCCCAAATAAATACACGAAAGAAAAAAAAAACAATAAAAAACAAAAAAAACACATAAAAAAAAACGTTTTTTTTACTAAAAAAAACACTCTGGAAAAAAAAAAAAACGTTTTTTTTGCATCTCTAGTATGGATAGAGAGAATTTATTCGTAGTGGGAAAATAGGAAGGTTTTTGCAAAACTTGGTGAGAAGGATTATCATCAAAATATGAAATTTAATTTCAAATTGGTACCTAGGTGTAAAGTTTATTTATTATATGCAACATGGTAGTTTATAGATTTTTAAATGTGAATTGAATGAATGTTTTATGTTCTATGAAAAATATGGGTTTAAATATGTTTTCCTTTTATGACCATACATACATTGTCCTTATCACTATTAACTGGATTTGGAATTACAGCATTCATAATAATGGGGTTCTAAAATTACTGTTATTATTTATTGGCCTTGGGCAACCCGGCAACACCAGGTTCACCTGCTTGTTAAATATAATTTACACTTGCCAAACTAGAAAGTACAGTTTAACGTAAAATTTAACTCTCCCACTCCTCCCAGTTTCTTGTGATTCCACCACTGAATATGAAATATTTTTTATTGTGTAAAATCCTGACACAATGAGTATCCTGGATATATGCTAAGCGTCATACAAACAAACAAGTTCAGAAACCTTGACTATTATGTATAAATTATACCTATACATGATTGAGTTTCAAAATGGTACCATCAACCGGGGCTACTTGGGATGATTTCGAACGTTTTTGATTCATAACTTCTTACTATGAAACATTTCATAAACAAGTTTAGCCTCATTTCAAAGCCCTTTGCAAGAGCTATCACATGGCTTCTCCAAAAAAATTCAATAAGCTATTCATGAGGTGCCAGAAGCAAAAAAAGTGTCCCAAGTAGCCCCGTTGAACGGGGCTACTCGGGACACTTGGAATAAAACTTCATTTTAAAACATTTGAAGCATGTAGAGTGTACTCATCCATTACTAACAGTACTCTGAAGTCCTTCCCTTTCATTGTAGATGATGTAGAGGTAGAATAAATGACATTTTCTGTGATTTTTACTTCTTTTTCATTTATCGATATGATATTACCATATACATTAATTACCTATTGTATTATTGATGCGATATTACCGTACCCATGAACATGCCATTGAGCATTTACAACAACCTTGTCCACTGCAAGTTTCATATCAGCAGCCTTATAGCATTTTTTCTGTATCTGTAAGCTTACAGGACGGCTAGTAATTTCACAAAATTTTATTTGGGTTAAGTGAATTTACTATAAAAAAAATTGTAAAAAACATACCTGAAACAGAAAGGAATGTTTTAGTGACAACCATCATATGTTTTGGAGAAATAAATCATAGTTCAAGTCAATTACTTTTTTTCTATGATGCCTGGTGCACAATTCTATATGTGACATTCTATGCACAAATTTGTGATGACCAATGATGCACTAATTTTTTGATAAGTGAAATTTTTTCACTGAGCAAGGTAAATGTAATCAATATTCTTTATTTTTAATCAATTTTTTCTCTTAACTGGAGCCTTTGCTAACTGAGGTTCTACTGTAAATGCGTTTTTGGGGATGTCCCGAATAGCCCCGGGGGGGTGTCCCGAGTAGCCCGCCATGCGGAAATGGCCGTCATTTTTTTTTAATTGAGGTACCAGTATGTAAATTCCACAAATAAAGTTTTCATGCTGATACTTGTCTGCCACTTTTTTCTAAGCAAAATTTTTTAATACGGCAAATATTTTTTTTTACTACAGACCTTAGCAGAAGTAACTTTTCAAAATATCGTTCTTCATCATTTTTTTCAGGAATTTTTCAAAGCTAGTAAATGTAGTATTTTTTAACTTCCTTTATACTACATAGGGTAGATAGGAAAAATGTTGACATTTACTCCACTATATTTAGTTTGGCAATATTTGAATTAGCTTTGCTACTAAAACGGTTTTACGCCGTTTTGGAGGACTGTCCCGAGTTACCCCGCTGGTCCCGATTAGCCCCGGTTGACGGTACTAAATTTAATGAAAAATGATTTTCATGTATTAAACTATTAATAGAACATTGCAAGTTTTTGCATTGTTAATATTATGCTAGCAATTCATAAATATAGTTTGTTTCCACATGTGAAGCCTCTTATTTAATTTACCTGCTCATGTGCCTGTAGTTGGCAAGTTGGGTAGGTATATCCTAAATAGCTCTTGGCCATATTGCCTTTCATTTAGTCAGCAGTGTTATGCACCCTCTCAACCAATGAACCTTTCATGATAAGGAAGTTGTCAAGTAGGTAAATGGCATAAACAGGCACTGACTGTCATTTGAAATTTCATTTTCCATTTGAATTTCTAACATAATAAGCTGTTTTCATAAGAAAATTCAATGCAGAAACTGCAAATTTATACAAATTAAAAATACATTTTAATGAGAAAATTGCATTTTCACCACAGGAACTGAAATCCATTGCATCCCTATTCAAAATCCCATTGAAATGGGCAGAAAAACCAAAGGAAGATGTGAGTAATTGTAATTTCTCTTCTAATCTAATTGTATTGAGCTATATGTGATAAATATTTTCTCAGCAAAAGGATACTGATTGTAGAATATATCTATATATAGGTATATACTCCTAAATTTTCTAGTTGGCATTCATATATCTGATGAGTTTTTGTTAGTGAGGAAAGATAACTAACCTGATTTACTGGCAAAGATCATGCATTAAAATGAAAATTTCCTTGCTCATTGTGCCATACATAATGCGACATCTAGTATGCTCCTAAATTGCAAGTAGGGGCATTTGAAAATAGTGGCCTTGATAGCAAAAAAAGTGTTTTCAATTTTTATCAGATGTGTTATCCAGAGCCAAGATATCACCTGAAATTTTCCATTCCTAGCTTGTTGAGAAGCAATGACAGTTAGAGCATCAAGGAAGGTTATAAGTCATTTGAATCCCAATGTTTCTCCTCAATTTTATCACAATCTTTAACTCTATGCTCTGTTGAAGTATAAGTGTAGGAGATTGGCCTTGGTGTCTTTATGACCCTTGTTTAAGTGTGTACTGCTGATTGATTGTATTTTTTTTTCAACAGCCATTTGTGATCTTAGAGATGGAAAGTGAGCAAGATGCCAAGAAACTGGTCTCCCGTTGCATGCTGGTGAAGGCTTGCTATGAGCTCTGGTCAGTTATTGCTGAATTTTTTTTCTGTCATAAAAGCTAGCTCACAACTGTGGTACAAAGTTCTGAAATGTGGGAGCTTATCTGTGTGGGAGCTTATCTGTGTTTCTTGACCAGGAATGAAGCATGAAGGAATGGATAATTGCTTTAATCTTGAACAACATTGTGAAAAGTGGTAGATTGAATTTGTAGATATTGCAAGGAATTAGTAATGAATGTCAGTACAGAAATGTAGGTACTTCTTGAAACACCTGGAGACAAAATCATGGAAAACCATGATGTAAAATGTGATTGTCGGAATTTAAAGTTTAAAAATATGAGACATGTTGTCTGAGTGGCAAATGACAGCAGTGAGTGTATGATCAACATTGTCATAAATAAGTTAAGTTATGTGCCAGGTATTTCTAAAGTTTTAGTGCTAGCCCTAAAACTTGACAAGCCTCAGGCAAGTCATCATTTGTATTGTAGCAGAAGCATTGTATAGGTAATAAAATTATAGTTATCATTTCAATCTAGACACATCATATAGGGATGAACTAGCTAATGATGCATGTAGGGTTATCAACCTAACACATACTTAGCATAATTAACATTACAAATAGGTAACCTATGAAACTATCAACTGTAAATAAAGATGTGCACGTGTGGGCAGCAGAATAACTAATAAGCCTCAGAAAACAAATATACGGAAGCATCCAAAACAAGGATAAGATATCTCCAATATCTGTCTGTGGGAATTACTGATATATTTGTTTTATGATGATCCTCATGACAGGGGCGATGGTTGCTCTTCAGAAGAAATGCACAACAACATCAGGCAGCAGCCACAAAGTTTGTACAAGCCCCACCTGGCAAGCCACAAGAGCTTCCGTGTCACAGTTGAAGGCTTCAACAAGTCCCTCAGGAGCTCTGATAAGCTTGCTAAGATTGAGGTGCTGTCTCAGTGATCCTCTTTATTGTTACCATCTGCTATTTTCCTAATGTTACTGTACACTTCATTGATCGTCATGTACGCTACTGTTAATTTTTTTGTTCAATTTTTGCAAAGGACCTGTGATTTTAATAATGTGACAGATAAACAATGTTAATTGTGTAATTATAGACTAGTTAGCTGATTTTTGTGATTTTTTTATAATTGATGTATCAATGTTCAGCAACCAAGTATGAAATTAAGTGTTATATGTGTGCCAAGTTTATAAATCCTGAAGTTTATTTTCTGTATTCCAGTCACTAAGTTATTTACCATTTGATGGCCCCGTGAACCTGACGAACCCTGACACGAGGCTTGATCTCATTGAGTACTATGGACTGAGCAACGTCGATGTCCCCGATCAGCCCTATAGGGTGAGTGATGTGGCCACGTCCTCATGTGGGTGGGGCCTTCTGCACAAACACTTGTACTAAGTTTTGTCATGACCAATTTTGTTTTAAATACCTACTTGAGCTGCTTCCTGGATTTCATGCATTTGTGCATTTATCTTACTACTGTTTAATTACTAAATGTGATTGTGAGGCGTGACTTGTCTTTTTATTACACAATCAGAATTGCTTGGTCCTTGAAAACAAATTTACACTTTTTCTGTTAAATGTTGTATTGATATTTTCTAAAGTATCCCAATTCCAATACCTTCTTGGAGAAGGTAACATGGATTGACCTGAAACGTCATAGCTTATATGATGGTGAGCTAGTGTTGCATCATGTTCATATTTAGAGATGGAACTTCTACAAATATATTTTCATTTGTTGTTTTGAATCTTGAACATTGAGTGACTAAATATCTTCACATGCACGCCTATTCTGAGTGCTTGGTTGTTGATTGATTTTATATGTCCATCCTCTATTGTAAGATCTTGTATTTGGAGCTGTAAGGTATAAATCCCCAGCTTCAGTATATGTTGGTCAGGCTTGCATTTTCTTGTCATGCAGGTGTTCTTGGGTCGGCTGCTGGGCAGAGGATGCCGGGAACTGATAGCGCAATACTCGCTGAAGCAACGCAGCTACATTGGCAGCACCAGCATGGACGCACAGCTTGCCTTCATCATGTGCAACATGGCGCAGCTCAGGCCTGGCGATCTTGTTCTCGACCCCTTCGTTGGCACCGGTCAGTTCAGTAGATTGGTAGTATTTTCTCCATTTTGGAACAAATTGGCACAGGCTTACCCTTGTATAGTGATCTGTGAGATAATCTTTGCTGAACAAATAATATACTCTATGCTATGAAGAAGAATTTGTGGTTGTTGCACAATGTGGAGACAATCTTGGGTTGCTCTGCCACTAAATATCACCATTCATAAAATTGAGCCTGCCATTTTATTACACTGTGATCTCCTGGGATGCCTTCTTTGATATCAATACTTACACCTCTTCTAATGGCAGGCTCGATACTAGTGTCAGCTGCCCACTACGGAGCGCACATCCTGGGCTCAGACATCGACTTCCTCACCCTACATGCCCGCACCAAGCCCACACGCGTCAAGCAGGTTGTGCATCACGCTCATGCCTTACTTTAGCTGCGCTCTGTGATGCATGACTGAGACTTGTGCCTCTTATACATATTGTACTATGAGCCTTACTTTAGCCTATCGTACTATCGTATCACGCTCATGCCTTACTTTAGCTGCACTCTGTGATGCATGACTGAGACTTATGCTTCTTATATTGTACTATGAGCCTCAAGATAAGCCTCCGTTCTCAGCCCTGTCCTGTCTAGCCTTATTTATCAAATTACCCAAGATAGTCTGACGCTTGATCATTGAGAGCTCTGTCAACATTCCATTCAATATCATAGGGTGTGAATTTTGAATGGTTTTTATTGTGACAATATTTAAACTCGTATAGATTTTATACGTTTTCACATATACACCCAAAAGCATGGAACATTTCTTAGGCAACATGGAAAAGCTTTTAAGAATCCAATAGATATGCAATCTTTTTAGTAATACTAACCTATCCATTTTGTATAAAATTATTTTTTAATTATAAAAGGAATTGAAGCCATGATATCCACATTTTCCCAAAATTACACAGTAACACATATTACACAAATTTTTGAATGTTTCTTTTTTACGATATTCCGTGCCAGCATTATGAGGAGTGGTTAAATATACGTATTTATAAATTTTTATTTCTAAACAGTGAATTCTCTTTTGGAACAGAAAGAGCGCAGCGCCCATGAGAGCATCTTGTCGAACCTCAGCCAGTACGGCCTGCAGGGCCGCTACCTCGACGTGGCCGTCGTGGACTGCGCCAGAACCTCCTGGCGGCGCGCCCCTGTGCTGGACGCCATCATCACCGACCGTCAGTGAGAGCAAGACTAGCCACCCTCTACTAGTGTCTAACATGCACTCTAGTGACATGAACTAGGGACGTGAACTAGTGACATGGTCCTCATCTAGTGTGTAACATGCACTCAAGTAACATGAACTAGGGACGTGATCCTTATCTAGTGTTTAACATGCACTCAAGTGACATGAACTAGGGACATGATCCTTATCTAGTGTCTAACATGCGCTCAAGTGACATGAACTAGTGACATGATCCTCATCTAGTGTCTAACATGCACTCAAGTGACATGAACTAGTGACGTGATCCTCATCTAGTGTCTAACATGCACTCAAGTGACATGAACTAGTGACATGATCCTCATCTAGTGTCTAACATGCACTCAAGTGACATGAACTAGTGACATGATCCTCATCTAGTGTCTGACATGCACTCAAGTGACATGAACTAGTGACATGATCGTCATCTAGTGTCTGACATGCACTCAAGTGACATGAACTAGTGACATGATTGTCATCTAGTGTCTAACATGCACGCAAGTGACATGACTAACGCCATGATCGTCATTCTGTCTTAAGCTAAGGGCCTTGTTTTCACATCCTTGACTTCCTTGAAAATTAAGTGCCTTGATCGTTAGTTTCTCAATCACAACACTGTATACTGAACAAAAATTACAACTAAAAATAACAATCTGTTCATTTTTTATGCTTGCAATTTCCCTGAAGCGATGAGTACGGTATTGTGTAATATAATCACCAATTTAAATTCAAAATTTTCAAGCAAAATTTATTCACCTATCAAATTCTATTCACCTATCAACCCACATTGTGTGGGTTGGAAGACCAACACTTTCCCAATTCAATCATCTTGACGCTTATGATATTTGTTTATTTATTGATGAATCAGCAACAAAAAAGGTAAAATTAGGCTCATTAAAATCCAATCAAATTTCCCCATCATGCTGATGTTTTCAAATGTAAAATTCAATTTATTGTTATCTTGAGTTTATTTTAGTTTTATTAGGAGAAAAATATTGAGGGCATATTTTATGATAAATCTGAAATTTGCCTGCTAGTAATTTGCATCATTAGTGGTTGCATTCAAATTTAAATTTAAATTGGCATTGTCAGCTCCTTACGGTATCCGAGAGGCGACGGAGAGAGTGGGACGCGAAATGTCAGCTGATGACCAGGAGCTGACGTCGCAACAGAAAAAGCAGCGGAGAAAACAACGCCTGCAGCACTATGAGACCGAGGGAGTAAAAGACGACTACAGTCATGAGATCCCTGTACCCAGCGTTGACGGCTGTGCCGAGATAACCAAAATTGAAAAGCAACCGGCCGGCAAGACTCGGGTAATAGAATTTTCTTTAATTTATTTCGTCTATTATGTCAGGCGTGCAATTTGTCTTCCTTTATTGCGAACAGGTTGTGATGCAAGCTACTTACCTAGTTTCCTTCTCAGAAATGACTCCTGGCTAGTTGTGTAGTTTTCCTCCTAATACAAAGCATCTGAATTAAAAAAAAATTATACATGTGCACATCATACTCTTTACCACGGTTTCCTGGCCTAAGAGGCAAGGAAGACTTGAAGAACACGCTCAAAATGTCTGTTATAACAACATACATTTCTTCTGGTGAACATATTGAATTCTAGTATTCCCCTTTGATAGCCAATATTGTTGATTTTATTCATTCTATTACATCGTTTCATCGTCACGTTTAGAAAAACTTTCATGACATAGAAGTAGCCAGTAATGAAACTGACGGCATTTTCAGTTCTATGTATAACTCACCACATTTTCAGCTGCATGCATAGGTAATTTATTACATTTTCAGCTACACGTATAACAGATTGAATCTTCAGTTACGTGGTGAGAAAAACGATGCGATTAATACCATGACCTCTATGATGTCTACATGACAATGGAAATCCGTGCAGACATCACCAGCCACGGAAGAGAGAGTTGCGGAGAACCGCAGCCGAGACTTCACGAAGCGTCAGGACAACAAGCGCTTGGATGGCTCCCCACATTACCCAGCCAAGGTCAACTACGGCATGGCGGACGTCTTCAAAGACCTCCTCAACTTCGCTGCATCCAACCTCGTAGTGGGAGGAAGGCTAGTCTACTGGATGCCCTTCATTAGGTACGCTTTAGTTCCCATTGCTCTTGTCTGTATCTCTTTAAACCTTATGTACAGGCTGTTCATAATTTACCTCTAAATAGTATAATTATTTTTCGCCCGTTGTCGAAAATATCAATAGGCAAGTGTAAGGAAATCAAATCCTAAAACGTTGTATTTTAATATGACTATTCTGATTGGTTGAAGCAGGATTTGTGATCTGATGTTTATCTCTATTCACACTGAATTTGTTCATTCGAAACTCTTCATTAATTATCATTAGTTAAATTATAATTAGTTTTAATATCGTTATATTTGGGTAATAATAAAATTTGAGTGTTTTTTTTTCATGTACCACTTTTCCATGCTCATTCAATTTTCGTCCGTGCAGAGATGAATACAATAGCGATGAGATACCAAGTCATCCCTGCCTGAGACTCGTGTACAATTCTGAGCAAGTTCTGAACTCGCATTCAACAAGGCGACTTTTAACATACGTCAAGACGAGAGCTGCCTTGGTAAGCTTTCTCGCTAATCGAGGCATTGATAATATTTATTGACTGCAATTTATAAATATTTGACCAGTAGTACTGGCAGTGCACTTATCACATTTAATTTTATTTCAAGCGAGAATTTGTTTCACTTGTATTTCCGGATGTGCAGGAACATGAAGTTGCAAATGCTAACGTACCAGAGTTCAGCATGGCCTTCAGAGAGAAATTTTTCATTGCGGCTAAAATGTCCCGCGAGGAACGCGTGGCCAGAAAGTGTCTGTACCCTCGCGACAAGAGAGGACAGGGGCTTGGCTACAGAGTAACGGGCTCCTCAAACGATCTTGAGGACAACGAATCTCCCACAAACAATTCTGATTTATCTACTGGGATCAATGGCTATTCTATGTCCGCAGAAAATTCCCCTGAGAAAGATTTAGTTGGAGGCGAAGACGTGTCTGGAAATGTGGATGTAGAAGTTTCTCATGATATTCCGGCCCAAAATAAGGAATCTGTTGCTGTTGATGCTCTTGAGTAATACACGTGTGACTGAATAATTTGTTTCATTCAATAATCTATGCAGTGACTTGGAGCATATGTCCATCACAGCTTTAACTACTGTCAACAATACCAGCATTTTGTGTACAGGATTCTCCCAAATATAGGATGTGTGAAGTCTTCATGGCAGATACGGTACCATTTACCTCTATTGAGTAGATATTTTGCTATTGATGCTGTGATGGAGTAATAATGATTGCGACGAGTTGTTATATCAACTGATTAATTTTAACGCAGTTTTCTTGTACTTTTTACTCTTTTCATTATGGAACATGACTTCGTTACTCCATTCATTGCGGTTTGTCCCCATGCTGTTCACGCATTTTAGAGTAAATTTGACTGTATTTGGGGATGCATAACATTATTTTCAAATTTCTGCTTTTGATATTCTACTGGGTGATAGAAGTTAGAATCATGACTGTTATCGTTCTATTATGAAAAGTTGGCTGCAGGCTCAGAGAACAAGAGCCAGTGCTTTATTTGTCTATGTAGCCAGCAAGTGATGCCCGAGATTAAGTATAAATTGAGCTGCAAGTATGCTACCCATGAAAATTAGAACCCAAGTAGGGAGATGAACGAGTCAAGTGACGCAAAAATTTATTGATTAACAATTTATTTAAATTCCGAAACGTTATGGGTATTTACCTCGCATTTTTTTTTTTTTTTTTGTAAAAGGTATTATTGGAAGTTAGTTAGTTTAGTGGCCAAATGTTTACTAGCGCTTCAGCTATTAAGCTATCTCGCACCGAAAGTCAAGATGAACATCACCATAGAGGTGGAAGGTCTCAATTATTCATCTCCCACAAGGGGCGGAAGGTCCCAGATGTCCAGCCCGCTGAAGCTGGCTCGAAAGAAGCAGCGTTAGCATCTCAAAGAGACGAAGTGACAAGGAGGGACAGGTGAAAAGCAACAGAAACTAAGACACTCGAACAAGAGGTCGCTTACACGTGACGTCGGCCGCCCGCACGAGAGAGACAGAGAAGGGAAATGTAAGGAATCCTACTTACTTAATAACTTAACCCCACAACTGAGATCTGCAGTCAGACACCTCGAGCTCAGCGGTGGGGCGCTCAGGAACAATCCCCCTATAGGAGCGCGAAATCCCATAGGACTTCTGACGCGCACAGACACACGTCAGAAGTCCCCCCTGAGGGGGTATTATTGGAAGTTTGGAATGCTCTGAATACTGGCATCGTCAGCTGTTATCACCCGGACCGAGAAACAACGTGGCGCGCTCTACTACTAACCCGCTGACATGCTTTCTTCCGTTGCACGCAGGGGTTATTTAAGCTTCTCCCAAGTCTCGTGCCATGAAAATTACGCGTTGATATTTAAGATTTATGTGATCAATGTCGAAACGATATTTAAAAATCAGATCCCCTGTCGCTTGACAAAGCTATTTAAATTGCACTTGCCGAGGATAGAAATTACAAGTTCCGATTAATTGGTTCGTAGCACTAAAACCTCGTGACGACAGCAACTTGGTGGGATGTCTGGGAGGTCGAACTTTGTCGGCTGCTCGGTTGTCAAGGACACATTAAATTTAAATGGACCCGCCTGCTGGACAAAAGGGACCCAGTAGATGCAGTGTACCTCTATTTTTCCAAGGCATTTGACAGTGTCCCACATGAGCGGCTGGTGCGTAAATTGAAGTCTTTGGGAATTGAGAGTAATGTACTCAAATGGATCAGAGATTTTCAGAGATTAACAACGTGTCAGTATTAATGGGTCCGTATCAGACTGGGCTTCAGTGCGCAGCGGCGTGCCACAAGGAAGCGTTTTCGGGCCTATTCTATTCGTTGCGTTTATAAACGATCTGCCAGAAGCAGGGTCTAGCGTTTGCTCGATGTATGCTGACGACACAAAAATTTATAATACAGTGAAGAATACGTCGCAAAAAGTACAGTTGCAAGGTGATCTTGACATGCTGGTTGACTGGGCTGATAAGGGGCAGCTGCGTTTTAACGCTGACAAATGTAAAGTTATCCACCATGGCAAGAATAATGAACAGCAAGATTACAGTATGAGAAGACAAGGTTGCAACGATAGAGTGATGATGTCAAAGTCGACAATGGAAAAGGATTTAGGAGTTAATATCGACAATGAGTTGAAATTTTCTAAGCATATTGAAGGTCAAGTTAATAAAGCTAATAAACGACTTGGACTGATCAGACGCTCTTTCGAGTTCCTAGTTGCAGAAGAAACGATGAAGCAGTTGTTTGTTGCTGTCGTGCGCCCAAACATAGAGTTTGGAAACGTCGTGTGGTCACCGAAATTGGAAAAGGACAAAAATTTAGTAGAGAGTGTTCAAAGACGCGCAACAAGGATAGTTCCAGGCTTGAGAGGCAAGTCCTATGAGGAAAGATTAAAGATTATGAAGCTTCCAAGCCTCATTTATCGACGTCTGCGTGGGGGACTCATTGAAGCATACAAGTATACTCATGGCTTATACAAGGTCCCAGAAGGAATACTAGAATTTGAAACAAGAACCAACACCAGGGGCCACGGCTATAAACTAACAAAACTGCGTTGTAACACATCCATGCCGGACCATGCGGGAGCGCAGCCGTGAGTAACAAAATTGACTCGTAAACAGGCCCTGGGCCCAACGCCAATCATCAGCATGCAATATCTACACATAGCCTCAGATCAATGAGCTGTGAGTAACTCCGGCTAACAGTATATCCGCTCTGCACAACACAGCCACTGCTTCACAGCGCCGGAGCCCAACTGGCCGGAGCGCAACAGGCCCTACCGCAACAGGCGGCGCAGGTTAGGTTAGGTTACGTTAGGAGTAGCTGTTGCGGTAGGGCCTGCTGCGCTCCGGCCAGTTGTGCTCCGGCCTGTATTTGTTACTAGAATTTGAAACAAGAATCAACACCAGGGGCCACGGCTATAAGCTAAAAAAATTGCGCTGCAACTTCTCCACGCGATAAAATTTTTTTCTCGCTTCGAATCACCGACATGTGGAACAGCCTCCCCGATGACATCGTTGGAGCTCCAAGTATGAACGCGTTCAAGAACAGACTAGATAAAGCTATGGAAAAATATATGTTCAGATTTGAAATGCCTAGCTCCTTATCGAACCCGGTGGAAGTCTAGTAGCTACTTCAAACTATCGCCAGTCATGAAAAGATCCGGTCAAATGACACGAGTTTAGATCTATGAACAAGGCACGAAAAGGAAAAGAATCGGCGACAGGCCACATCAGGCCTACATTTCAGCGCCGACATCATTATGTTATGTATGCGCTCCGGCCTGTGACTGAACTGCGCTGTTGCGGTGGGGGCTTTGTATCAAAAGCCGTGCATAATCCCGGCTGCGTTACGCTCGGGAAGGATGAACCGCACTGTGGACTTGGGCTATGCTGACCCCTAGCCATCCACCCATCCATGCGACAACATTTCTTCTCGCTGCGAGTCACCGACATGTGGAACAGCCTCCCTGATAGCATCGTTGACGCTCCGAGTAAGAACACCTTCAAGAACAGACTAGACGAAGCTATGCAGGAGCAAATGTTCAGTCTTAAAATGCCTTGCAAATTACGGACCAGACAATAAGTCCAGCTGCTATCTCAATCAATAGTCAGTTATTGAAAGATCGGGTTCCAAAGGCCGGATCCCTTGTGAATCAAGTCACGAAAAATTCAAGAATCGGCAACAGGACATGGGCCTATTTCTTCAAAGGCGACACTTCTATTCTATTCTAATAGCTTACGGATAATTTAAGCTGAAATTCCCAAAGAGTTCCCAAAGAGTGACATACGGCCGTAGAGGGTTAAAGAGACGACAGGGCTGTTTATACCTTATGAACATTGGTGGGTGGCTGCTGCTTAGTTTTTGTATTGTATATATAATGAAGTTTTATAAAATAGCGAAGAATGATAAGTATTAAAATAATAAAGAAAACTCGAAGTGAATTATCTACACTATGTTATTCAAGCATACTGATCATTCATTTTCGTATCATGATTTGAGTCTCATTCAGGTGTTCGTAATTTTACATGTGTGGAGTAAATATATAAAGAGTTGAATTTTTTAATGGTATGAACGATAATATGAAAATGAAATTATACTGTACGACAACTTGAACTTATCTACGTTAACAGAGTTAATTTTTGTGCAATAAAATTATAAGCTGAACACAAAATTCAGTGATATCAAACGATTGACAGAAATAAGCAAGATAAACTATTAATTTCAACATCCCTATAAGATGAGAGTTCCAATGAACGTAATGTTTATTTTTCGTCATTCATTTTTGTACGTCGGCCAACTCGTTTATTTCTCTCGGGCGAAGTCAAAACAAGGCATGTAACTTGTTGTCGGTCAATGCAACTAGAAACAGCGCAACGCTTCCACCTCATTGCTCCAACGCAAGTATTTTCTTTCTGATTGTAGCGTATAATATTTGTTGAATATGGCAGAAGAAATGAGCGTCACGGTGGCTTCCATGCTCAAAGGCATAGAGAGGTAAGTAAGATGATCAATTATTGATATTGTCACTCTCACAAAATAATGTAATAACAACAGGAACGATTCTGCTTTCTTAAATTAGTTTAAATGTTGGTTTCTTTCTTGTGAGGCAGGTGCGTAAACTTTCTGAGCTGTGGCTCTTGTGTCTCATAGATTATTCAAATCTATATAATTAAACATGACATTTAATAACCGTAGTAATATTTCTAGAAAGGAAGATTCTGTTAATTTGCTAGAGGCCACAGAGCACAGACTGGATGACTTGTTTTTCCTGGAGTAGCCTAATCCAGAGTCCAGACTTTCCAGAGTACATGAGATGATGAGGGCTTCAACAGTTCAACTTCAAGCCCTAGCAGGCAAGCACTGGCATTCTGGCAATAGTGGCATTACTGGCATACACCTTGGCAGCAGGATGGAATTCTAATTTTGAAGGTTCATATATTATTTCGATCCACCAAGACAACTTTTTCGATCAAACATCGTTATTTGAGGCAAAAAATGAACTTCTTAAAGGCATAAAAAGCGAATACAAGTATACTTAAAGGATTCCTAATATATTCACAAACGTATTTAAAAGTCTCAAACCATAATATTCTTCCTATACAAACAGTTATTCACTATTTGGTACAGCAAGGTCAACTGTCAAATTTGACACATTTTTCGATGATGTCACTGGGTAGCGTGCATTGTCTCTCTTTGGATCTCAATATTTTCCCACTAGATGGCCAAGACATAGTGTTTTGGCAGTAGTTTACCGCACAAATGTATGACGTCATCATTTCAACCATCAACGAACGCATGGAACTAAAACAAAGCTTAATATAAAGGAAAAGCTAGAGAGGTGACGGAATTACCCACGATGACGGAATATACCGCGTTTACCCTACTTTTGGAAATTTGCAGCCCAATTGTCAATTGTGCTCTTTTGTTAACAATTGTCAATTGGATGGAAGGTAATTCATCTGGCAGGAATCTTGCCGGCATAGTGGCAAAGCAGGGACTTTTTCAGACTCTTCATTCAAGTTCATTTTTGAGTCCCATAAGTAGACCAGTTAAGTATCAATGTATCATGGATACCAGCACTATCATACATAAGATATTGATTTAAATCTTGAGTAGATGAGAAAATTAAAAATGAACTGACTCTAAAAAATCTGGTTTGTCACTAAAAACTCACTATGGAACCGCAAAATTTTTGCAGTTACGGAAATGTTAGCAAAGCTCTAATCGCGAACCTGATGCAAAATGTTTTCCACGCTTGCATAGGTAGTCATAGTGACAAAGTCAGTACTTTTTCAGTCTTCAGAGACAAGAGTATCATCCAAGTCCGTTTTTGAGTCCTATGACTATGAGTAGATCAGCAAAGTATTATGGATACCAGCATTATCAATCTATGATGAATTATCATGACAAGATATTGGGTTAAATCTTGAGTAGATACATAAATTGAAAATTGATTCCAAAAAAATTCTGGGGTGCTGCTACAATCTTGTCAGCCAGGGTACAGAAAGAGAGTGAGTATCTGGTGATCTTTGGGAATGCATCTGCCTCAAAATTTATCCCTTTAAAAGATGTTGCCAACACATTTGGATTGAAAATGATGGCGTTTCATATATTTACCAATCTCTGGCGATGCTAACCACGGAACAGGAGGTACGTGAGTGGCTGCATTGTTTTCAAATTTCCTGTTTTTGGTTAGTGGGATGAATCTGCAAAGCACAATCCCTTGTTTGGTAATTTTGGTTGCAATGCAATTGGCCATTGTAATACGTGGGGTGTTTAAGATACACTGATCAAAGTTGGTTTTGTAAGAATTTTGATGAAATTTATTTTTGCAACGCATCTTGAAGACTGCCAGCTTGGGTACTGTCTACACAAAATTTATGGTCAAAAAATGCAAAAATTTGCAGTGCATTTACCAAACTCTGCACCCTGGATCTTGTGTATGATAATGCTGATATCCATGATACTTTACTGGCCTAATCATAGGACTCAAAAATGAAATTAAGAAATAGTCTATAGACTTCTGTTTGACACTATGCACCCTGATATGCAAAGAGCTATATTTAATCATAAACTTGCTGCATGCACTGGTTCTGGGAGACATTTGAGTCTGGTATGAGTGCTGCTGCTACTAAAAAACTCAAAATCTGCCCCAACAATGTTTTAAAACTTGTATAAACTTAAAAAGCAAGGTCATCATCAGAGTGGCAAAGCAGAGAATTTTTTAGACTCTTCCTCTAGTTCATTTTTGGGTCTTATAAGTAGACCAGTTAAGCATCATGGATACAGGAGTGTAAATTTGATTTATTAAATTTTATTTTTTGAATAAGTCCTGGATCCCAGCATCACCATGCTGTAACTTCACTCAGTCACGCAACTAAACAACATTTAAGCTTCTGGCTGTGCTAGAACACCATAATCCAATAATTAACACACAGCATAAAGGTAATAGCTCCTCAGGTCTTCAGCCATTACTTAAGCCTGTTTGCTCATAAGCACGCAGTTCTCTATCCAGCTGCACCTTTTCTGTCCTAACCTATTCATGCTGCCCCTGCTCTCAGCCTTCTTGCAGCCAATGACTGGCTCTACCAGCACATTTGAACTGCCTTTCCAACTTCCTGCATTCAATGAGGTTAGGTTAGGTCCGCTCAGGTTTGTCAGTTGCATTGACATTTAAATTATTACTTGATATTATATCAAATCATTATATACTTGATATTTCTATCAGTAATGTACTGATGTAAGTACCAAAACCTACTAAATGTATCAAAAATAGCAAAATGCACCAAAACTGTCTGAATTTTAAGAAATACAGTGTTCTTATGTTCTCTCATAGTTGACATGGGGAACAGACTCCATACGTGAAGCTGTCATATTTAAAAATTCAAGTATTTTGCCATGAACAACATGTGATCATTCATTTTCATGAAGAATTATGTAGGAGAAAACTCATCAAGCAGGAATCTTGCAGCTCCAAGAATGGTGGGGAAGCTCTAGTCATGGCCTAAAAATTGGTCATGTGGCATTACTTGATCCGTAGCAGCCAATGATTTTTGAGAAACAATTTAATTTCTAATTTCCTTACATATTTGAAGATTTTGATCAAGATTTTTTGTATGTTAATTTTGCTATCTGATGTAGGTACAATATTGGGCATATGCCACCAGTGAAATGAGGAAAAAAGGCCCATGCTTACAGTCAATTTAACCCATTTCTGTAGCTTTGACTTATTTCTTGAGTTATTCTGAGAAGCAGTGCATTTTTTACAACAAATTTCAATAATCACCCACCATATATTAATATCTGCCAGATATTCTTGATCAAGTATGGAATATATCTATTTTTTTGAGCTGCAAATAGAGTTTTACTTCTATTTTTGTGGCTGCAAAGATGAATTATTTCCTATCTGATGATCACATGATCAGGCTGCAAGACTACTAGCTCATTGCAAATGTATCACTTTAGAGCCATGCAATTTTTGTAATATGTAGGAAATTTTCAATTTCATTCCAGATTGGCTGGTTTCCATTATACTTACTGATCCACTATAGGACTCAGGACTCCTGATATATATATATTATTCTTTGCAAGAAAAATCAGTTTAGCAGTGTGGCAAAATTTTCTAATTTCCATCTTTATGAAGTACTTTATTGTATTTTTGACCTTAGTTATGAATCCATTTAACTTGATTGCCATGTTGGTTTCCCCCATTCCAATTAACAATTGTTTTCACATGCTCATTGTTGGTAGAGTTTGTACTCTTACTGAACTGAAAAATTTTTCCTCCCCAGATACAACCCCGAGAACATGAGCACCTTGGAGCACTATGTGGAGCTACAAGCAACTGAAAATGCCTATGATTTGGAGGCTAACTTGGCTTTGCTGAAACTCTATCAGTTCAACCCTGGCACTTACAAAACCAGTATAGCTTGCCTAATCTTGCTCAAGGCTCTCACGAACTTGCCGCACACAGACTTCGTTCTCTGCAAATGCCTCCTGCAGCAAGACCAGGTCAGCTAATTATTCTTCATGTACTTTTTGGTATTGGTGTTGCTTAGGAGAATAATCCTACATATTTGAGAATCCCTCCATCAAATCATCTTTCATGCTGCAAAGACCACTTGTAAACCATTCTTTAAATTCGCATTTTGCAATTTGAAGTCAATGTTTTCGGCACCATCTATCCTTTGTGACCTGGGATCATCTGTTAGTGTTAAAAAAAAGTTTGGTAATATGACAGGTCAGCTTGTATGCATACTACTTACGTTACATAACTCTTGGTGTTCAATGATATCTTCACATAAAAACGTTGAGTTTAAAAACGGCCCTCTTTGCTACGCACCAATATTTTTGGATGAAAAAATTTTACACAAATTTTTATGTGGGTAAAAGTCCCTATGAAAATAATTACTTATCCTATATGATTATTTTACTGTGCAGATGGAAGAAGATCACATCTCGCGCATCATATTTCTCCATGACTTGCTTGAGATGTGTCAGTTCAAGCAGTTCTGGGATGAGCGCGAGAACTTCGAGAAACTGGTTAGTTGGAGATGTTTTTAAATTGCAGAATGATTAATGCAATAATCAAGTCACAAAAAAGGACCTGCGTGAGACAGTCCTGAGATGCGGCCCCTTTGTTATTATTACTATGTGCAAATCTCTTATTACATCCCTCTAATAACGTTATTTGCGTGACTTCTCAAGTTATATTACCAATAAATAACATTAAAATAAAGTATTACCAACAAATTTTAATAATAATTCTATTTTGAAAGAATCCCTTATTCTATTCTATTTTGATCGAAAGAATCCCTTATTGGTGCAGGTGTCGGGAGTGAAGGAGTTTGCCAACAGCATCCGTCGTTACATCTGCCATGTGGTGAGCATCACCTACCAACACATCGAGAAAAGCGCGCTGGCTTCGCTTCTCGGCAACTTGGATGGTCAGTTATTTGTAGCTTGGAATATTTCTGGTAAAATTGGATACAAACTTTTGTAATACAACTACCGTTGAAATTTTACCACACTTGGAAATTAAGAATGACATCGAAATGGTATTGTGGATACAGCTCGAAAATAAAAACTCAACTCGTAAGAAAATTTAAGCTTCCTGAAAAATCCGGTGGTTTGTAAATTAATAACCGGAGATTCCTTTGATGAGAGCAACAGCTTTCGCTAGTATTGAAGCGCCGGGGCACCGTATGACGATGCTGGCGCAAGCTTTCAATGTAGCCGGGAGTGATGGTCTCACTGTAAGCCTCCCTCATGTGGTTTCTTGGCCCTCCAGATTGTAGGTGGCATGTGAGGCAGCGGCTCAAGGTCGTACGATGCAAACCGATTTAATTTACATTTTGGAAAAGTCTACAACCTACTGGAGACTCAATGATCAGTCTCCCTCTATCAATTTACAAACACACCGGGTTTTTTCATTTTAAATTTTGTCTGAATAATTTCAAGTTCATTTTCGAACTGTATCTACACACACTACCCTTTGTTTGTGGTACTAATGTCATTTCGAAATTTCAAGTGTTGCCAAACTCTTCATCTACTTGATGATGCATATTCGAAACGTCATAAAATTAACATGAAGTGTCGTTTGGAAACCTTACACTCGAACTTTCATATCGTTCAAAAAGCCCAAGTCGCCGAATTTAAGAAGTAAGAAAATTGTTAAAGAATACGTTCATATCTTAATTATTATTTGCAAATAATTTTCCCCTGTATATTCAGTAGCTCATTCTTGTGAGCAGATGCCTAACAGATTCAAGGACATGGGATACGTTTACAGCTCTGGAAAAGTTGCCAGAAAAATTGTATTCTCAAAATTTTCCACAAAATAATGATCACTGGTCACATTGATGAGCACGAGTTATGCCTTACTATAGTGAAATTTGCTAAATAATTTATTATTTATTGGCAGATAACGAACTGGCTGTGTGGATCAATATGAATAACTGGTCTGAGGTCGAAGGCGGTTACATCTTCATTGCCAACCAAGAAGAAACGGTCAAGACAAAGAACATCACTGAGAAGATCGAATTCGATTCTGTTGCGACCATAATGGCCGCATGCAGATGAGCTGCATTTCAGCGAACATGTGTTTGATTCTAATAAATAAAATGGCCACCAAAGTGATGTATCTTTATTGAAGGTATAACGTACCTGCTGCCGAAGATAAGCAGCGAAATATTGCTAGACCCCATTCATCCAGGACAATAAAAGATATTTGGTATTTGTTTACTAAGTTTTTAAGCAACGGGGTTCCTAACAGAAATGTAGCAAACAATCGAACCTTAAACTGGTTTGTAGTCAAGCTTGGTCTCGAGCTTCTTGTTGTCCGCCACCTTCCTGACGGCCTTCATGAAGTCCTCCTCGATAACGTAGTCGCGCTCGTTCCTGATGGCGAAGAGACCAGCTTCGGTGCACACATTGCGCAGATCTGCCCCGTTGAAATTGTCCGACAGCTTCACTACGGCTTCGTAATCTGAAATCAGCCACAAAATATTTACTGAGCCGAGTAACCATCTGACAAAACTAGTTAGATATATTTTACTTCATCGATAAAAAAATCTAAAATTCTAGTTCGCGTAACAGGGGAAGCTCAAGGCCAAAAAAGCATTATGAAATTATATGAATCTCCTCGAAACAGAACAACGATGAAACTTGTAACGTGTGAATGGAGTGGCTCGAAAAACAAACCAGAAATGTCATGTTTTCTTGACCTCGTTACCAGAAGCTTCTTAGTTTTGTAATAATTTAAGCATCATGAGAAACGTGGCCTCATACGGAGCACATTAATTAAAATGAAAAATAATGCTAAGAGGTGAACTTGCCTCCAGTAAAGTAAAACGTGCAGCAGACCTCACCTATTTCTCCTCTCTTAGTGATGGGCCCCGAATGTATTTTGAGAATCTCAAGGCGCGCCTGTTCGTTGGGAAGAGCGATTTCGATCTTCCTGTCCAGACGACCAGGCCTCAGAAGTGCCGGGTCCAGGGTGTCAGGACGGTTGGTAGCCATGATCATTTTTACCTAATGAATATTCTACGTTAGAATGATCGTGTATATTAGTTCAGTAGCAAGTTTTTGCTTCATTGTGTTAAACTCGGCAGGTCAACAAGATCCATGCATTTCAAGCTTGGAATTTTCAATAATTCCAGGCTCTGAAAATTTCCATACGACCGTTAAGTTTGTGAAGCATAAATTTTAGAAAATATATAACTACACGCAGGGAAATCAATACAATAATCAAGTGAACTCACAGCCTTATTATACATAATATAAATTTCTCTACCGTTTTAAACGCTCTCAAGCTAACCTCATTTGAATCCAAAGAGCGTATTAAATTAAAATGTTTATTCTTGTTGCGACAAGTACTTTCAAATAAGTATCAAACCAGGCAAGTAAACTTTCATACAAAAGGCTCCTTTCTTAATTTTGAAAGCTCGCGCGACAACGTACTCGCGTGAAACATGCCAAGATGGGTTGAATTCCCTTATTGCCATGAGGCCAGTTTGTTGAACGAGTGACAAAATTATTCGAGTTGATCATATGTAGCAAACTAGATCATTCAAGAGCTTATTCAACTACTGCTTCTTAACATAATAATACAAACAAAAATCGGCATTTTCTGAAATAGCCATATCTTCTATGATATTACAGGTATATGCCAGGAGCACAGCAATCAATTTGGTGAAATTGGACTCTGAGTTTTTCTCGATGCTAAAGCCTTGCCTGGCCAAGAGAGTCGAAGCCGTCCATCTGGTTGAGGAGCTCCATAAGAGTGCGCTGAATTTCACGGTCAGCAGAAGTTCCCTCAGAAAACCTGCACAAGCAGACAACTTTGGAGTTTCATTCTTGGTGCACAGAAACTAGCTGACACTAGTAAGAAGTAAGGTCTCTCTAATTACTAAATTAAAAACCCCATTTTACAACACTTCTCTTTAACTTCACTTCTTGTTTGTCTGTCTGTCTGTCTGTATGTCTGTCTGTCTGTCTGCTACAACTCTTGTAATCGAAATTTAATACACTTCTACTTATCCTATCGATCTGAAATTTTGCACACTTGTTCAAAATTGGAGACAATGCATGAATCAAATGTCAAAATGAATGATTTTTAAAATTTAAAATTTTTTTTTCAATATTAAAAAAATTGAAAAAATAATTTTGTCAGCTACAAATCTTATAACTGATATTTGACACACTTTTACCTGTCTAATTGATCTGAAATTTTGCACACTTGTGTGAAGTCAGAGGCAATGCATGAATCAATTAACAGAATAAATAGAGTGTTGTCTTTAAAAAGTAATTTTTAAATGTATATTATTTAAATACTATCTGATCTACATAGGAGAAAAAACAAAGTGAAGTAATTGCAATTCAAGGTCTCAACATTACTAATAACAACAATACTTGTAACAACATCACAAAATACACAATTTCATCAGTAAATAATAGTGTTAATGAATTACATGAATATACCCCAGAAATTTTGTGTATAAATATACCTATAGCATATGCGTTCGGTTCATCTTACCGCCTGCCTCCAATAGCATCAATCTCATCCATGAAGATAATGCATGGCTGATGGTCGCGAGCATAGTTAAACATCTCCCTGATGAGACGTGCAGATTCTCCGATGTACTTGTCAACAATAGCGCTCGACACGACCTTCAGGAAGTTGCAGTCAAGCTGAGAAGCGACAGCTCGAGCAAGCAGGGTCTTGCCAGTGCCTGGAGGGCCGTACAGCAAGCAGCCTTTAGGAGGAGAGATGCCAACACGCTGGAACAGCTCTGGGTTCAGCAGTGGCAACTCTATCACCTGCACACACAGAAATGCTTTGTAACCCCCATGCTGTCATCACAAATATTTCAGAAGAATGATCGAATGAGTAGAAGACATTTAATATTAATCCTTCATTTATCCATTACGTCAAGGAGAATAGTATTTAATTGTTAATGGTATGAAGTACAAGACATCTTGCTAAATAGTAGACAACTTAGAAATTGTGATGCATTTCATAAATTTATTTATTCATATACCAAGAAAATGGACACAAGAGCAGAAATGTCACCAAAGGCACATGATAAAATTGATGCAGGAGCTTTCTTAACTGACCTCCCTTAGTTCCCTGATCTGATCACTGAGTCCACCAATTTGGTTGTAGGTAACATCACCAGGGTCTTCATGGCTCATGTTGTAAACTAGTGGGTCGACTTCACGTGGCAGATGTCTCATGATTGTCAGAGTAGTCATGTCTAAGGCCACTCTTGTACCAGACTGGAGTTATCAAACAAAACTTTAAGTTAGTCATTTTGAAGAAAAAATAGAAATGACAACTTATATCTAGTGGTGTTTTATACACATTTCATTAAAACCCGGTATAGTATCAAATATAATGAGCACAGTGAGATTTTATTCTTCAAGAAATATTAACACATAAAAAATGAATAATTTTGGACATATCAAGGAAAGAAATTGAATATTTACACAAGGTGATAAAATAGCAGACCTTGAGCTTGGCTTTATCAAGCTGTCGCCTGCAACCAACAACGTAGCGAGGGCCATTAGTGGCCTTGACTATGAACTTCTCTTCAGTTAGCTGCTTGAGAACCTCTCCCACTATCTGGCCCACACTCTGCAGTGCCTTCAGGTCATTCTCACTCTTGTCATACTGCTTGTCAAAATCTCGCTTCTCTTCACGCACTGCAAAATAAAGAAAGTCATTTAGAACAGGTCGTGGATATTCAGCACATGCATAATGCATTTTTTAGAAGTTGCTTGAATATTGTCCACTAGATCGTCAAAATATTGGGTAGTAGTCAATCATTACCATAAAAATTTATTTCTAATACACAGAATTTTGGCTATGGCTCAGAATACCATATTTTGGAGCCTAGAAGAAAGCGCTAATTTGAATTTGCATAAAAAATTAAGGCACACAGAATATTACAAAAAGCAAGAAACATGAGCAATTTCTGGATAAATTGGATAAAAACCCTAAAACTTTTGCTTCTGAGCTGACAATGCAGAAAAACATTACACTTGCAATTGAAATGAGGGTTCTTCAAAATATTCACAGCAAGATGCTTGAATAAACATGTAAGCATTCAATATTTTTGTTCATCATATGATGAGTAAAAGTTCAAAACTTTGTAAATAAATTATCAAAATTTCTTATGTACTTCTGTAATTAGGGTAAATGCGGTATATTCCGTCATTGTGGGTAATTCCATCACCTCTCTAGTTTTTCCTTTATATTAAGCTTTGTTTTAGTTCCATGCGTTCGTTGATGGTTGAAATGGTGACGTCATACATTTGCGCGTCAAACTAATGCCAAAACACTAGGTCTTGGCCATCTAGCGGAAAAATAGAGATTCAAAGAGAAAAAAAGCAAGCTACCCAGTGCGATCATCGAAAAATGTGTCAAATTTGACAGTTGACCTTGCTCTACAAAATAGTGAATAACTGTTTTTATAGGAAGAATATTATGGTTTGAGACTTAAACAGAACTTACGTAACGCATACGGTTTTTTTTTATAGTTTTTCATTTCTCGATGCGTCCTTAAAGTGTCGGAATATACCGCGTTTACCCTATTAGTGACAGGTCTAATGGTCTAACAAACACCAAAACCACTGTACTATAATTACTATATGCAATATAAAATATAGTTTACCGAGTTCAAAATATGTAAATACTATTGGAATGCATGCAAACAATATTCATTGATGGTCAGATCAAAATTTGATACTGGATTTTTTTTTATTTCAAATAAATAATAGCTAAAGAGACTTTATTATTATGATTTGAAATTATGAAATTTATAATTTTGAATGCAAATTGTTGTACATGCCTAGTTGTGCATTTAGAATTAGAGCTAGGGTAAATGCGGTATATTCCGACACATTAAGGACGCATCAAGAAATTAAAAACTATAAAAAAACCGTATGCGTTACGTAAGTTCTGTTGCCTTCACATGACTCTCAAAACACTTCACTACACATCAGCAACGATGAAACGTCACAAAATGTTGCCATATTCATTCAAAAGCCTTTGGAATGGAAACTACCAAATCCCTATATTCCGTCACTTTGTGTGGCAACACCCAACACAAGGTGAGTCGTATTGCATCAGTGCTTCAAATTTAACTGATACGTATTGCCGACATCCACGTGTTCGAATTCCGTTTGCTGTGTGAGCTGTATTGGGATCATAGTGACAAACCAGAGATTTTTTAGAATCAATTCATTTTTAATTTCCTTATTTACTAAAGACTTAAACAAATTTCTTATGTAAGATAACGGTAATGCTGGTATCCACGATACTTTACTGGTCTACTTATAGGACTCAAAAATGAACTTGAGGGAGAGTCTAAAAAACTCTGCTTTGCCACTATGCCCTACCCTAATGTACTCATACCAGTATATTATCATTTGTGTTAATTTTTATAACAAACACACATACCTAAACAAAATTTATAGCAGCTTTATTCATAATATTTGTAACTGATTATTTTTTCTTAACACTGAATCGACTGCATAGCCTAGTGGCAAAGCAGCAATTTTTTAGACTCTTCATCAAGTTAATTTTTGAGTCCTATAAGTAGACCAGGAAAGTATCTTGGATACCAGCATTTCCATACATAAAAAATTGATTAAAATATTGAGTAGATGAGGAAATTAAAAATGAACTGATTCTAAAAAATCTCTGGTTTGCCACTATGATCTACTGTCTACATTACATTCTCAAACAGACCCTATAACTTTATTTTTTGAATTGGAAATACCTACATACATAGCACCCAACTTTAAGATGTTCTCAATTCAAAGAAATTTTATTGAATGCTTCTTTTAATGGGCATTTTAATAACAAAGCATGATTCAAGTTCAATACCACAGCCAATTTAACTCTATAGCAAACTGTGCAAACAAGTTACAATATATGATCAATTAAAATTGCCTCCCAGTATGACCCACCACACCCAGGTAGTACTTATAGGACTTGAAATTGAACTTGAAGGAGACTCACTTCCCTATGCCCCACTGTCAGTAAACACCAGACAGTCCAGGCCAGGCCCCACTGCCCCAGAGCAAATAGGTTTAATATGGGCGGTAAATATATAATCAGCAGACACAAAGTGATAATACTCTTAATTGACACCCATCACCGTACTCACATTTTCTCAACTTCGCTTCGATCTCTCGATGGTCAATGAGTCTTCGTCGATAAACTGCAAGATTTTGCTCGCGATCCGTAGCCATCTCACTGTGTTTGTATCACAGTCCTGGATGACACAAACTTTTCAGTGGCTACAAACTCCGAAGTTACTGCTGAAGTCCCAAATGAGGGTTCGAGTTACGTGTCTTTGTATCTACTGCGCGTTTCATAGGTAGCAAATATATCCTATATACAAGAGAAAATTCGAGATAACTAAAATTGTTCGCTTAAAATCTAAATTTATATTCGAAAAATTAACAGCGTTGTTTCAAATTCACGCAAGCAGTCATAAAAAATTTAATAATATATATATGTTCCACATGAGAATAAATTTTGGAGAAATTCGAAATAGGAACCTTGAAATAGTGGGCACGTCGGAAAATAATTTGACATATTATTTTGGGGTAAATATTATTATCTTCTGAATTCTAGCGATAATTCCTGCTTAGACATTCGCAATCGTCGGTGTCGGTTGTTACGAATTGGTCAACCGGTAGTTATCTAGGACGAGAATATCTACGTCAGGATGGTTTGGGGAGAATATCCCGCTGAATTTAATCCCAAGGTTCACGGACCTTACGATCCTGCACGTTTCTATGGAAAAAGTGAGTTGGTGTATAAGAAATTGTAGGATAAGACAAGACAATATCATGTGGGTCCAAGGAGCAAGTGCTTACTTTCTTCATAAATAGGCCTATCCATTTACGAATAGAAAATTAATATATCACTTTTAGAAAATTGACAATACCTAATTACATGTTGTTTTAAGTATTGACATGTTTGGTAAACTTTGCCCATAAGTATTATTTACCCAGCTGTGAATGAATATTTTATTCTTTATGGGTTTGATCCCAACTACCTGCTAGGCTACTTATACCTATGTCAGGTCAAATTGACATGGTGACCAAACTGTTTAGCAGAGAAAAATTGGAGCGTGCTGAGTGAGTTGCATGTGCAAGACCACAACAAGTTGTAAATATTCTCCAATTGTCCAATTCTAAGTAGGGTAAACGCGGTATATTCCGACATCGTAGGTAATTCCGTCACCTCTCTAGTTTTTCCTTTATATTAAGCTTTGTTTTAGTTCCATGCATTCCTTGATGGTTGAAATGGTGACGTCATACATTTACGTGTCGAAATACTGCAAAAACACTAGGTCATGGCCATCTAGTGGGAAAATATTGAGATCCAAAGAGAGACAATGCATGCCACCTGGTGAGATCATCGAAAAATGTGTCAAATTTGACAGTTGACCATGCTCTACCAAATAGCTGTCTCTTATACACATCTAGATGTGTATAAGAGACAGATTTAAAAGTCTCAAGCCATAATATTCTTCCTATAAAAACAGTTATTCACTATTTGGTAGAGCCATGTCAACTGTCAAATTTGACACATTTTTCGATGATCTCACCACGTGGCATGCATTGTCTCTCTTTGGATCTTAGTATTTTCCCACTAAATGGCCAAGACCTAGTGTTTTTGCAGTATTTCGACACGCAAATGTATGACGTCACCATTTCAACCATCAATGAACGCATGGAACTAAAACAAAGCTTAATATAAAGGAAAAGCTGGAGAGGTGACGGAATTACCTACGATGTCGGAATATACCGCGTTTACCCTATGTATGCACAGTGACCAAAATGGATATACAACCACCTAGAATTTTCTAAATATTTTTTTTCTGCATAGAAAAATACTGGATTTTAACAATAGAGTAAACGCGGTATATTCCGACATCGTGGGTAATTCCGACACCTCTCTAGTTTTTCCTTTATATTAAGCTTTGTTTTAGTTCCATGCGTTCGTGGTTCGTTGATTGTTGAAATAGTGATGTCATACATTTGCGCGTCAAACTACTACCAAAACACTAGGTCTAAGCCATCTAGCGGGAAAATGTTGAGATCCAAAGAGAGACGGTGCATACCACCCAATGAGATCATCAAAAAATGTGTCAAAGTTGACAGTTGACCTTGCTCTACCATATAGTGATAAACTGTTTGTGTAGAAAGAATATTATGGTTTGAGACTTTTAAATATGTCTGTAATATATTAGGAATCCTTTAAGTATACTTGTATTTGCTGATTTCAAGTGGTAAATAAATTAATAGATGATTAAGTTGAGAAATGGATTTAGACACATAAAAACTAATTCCGACACAACTTGAATTGGACACACACAGCTCATTCCAAGCTGTGTGCAAAAATTAACATTTTCTTAATTAAAAGCTTAATAATTGTTAATTAAAAGCCTAATTAAGTAGTGCTCAATATTCAATAGTGTTCTAATTCAAAGAAAGCCATGTCATATTCCAATACAGCTCACACAGCGATCGGAATTCGAACACGTGGATGTCGGAATTACGTATTAGTACAATTTGAAGCGCGGTTGGAATACATCTCACCGCGTGCCGAATATAGTCACACACAGTGTTGACTATAGGGATTTGGTAGGTTTGCATTCTAAGGCTTTTAAATAAATATGGCAACATTTTGTGACGTTTCAGCATTGCTGGTGCGTCGTGCAGTGTTTTGAGAGTCACTTAAAGCAAACAAAACTTTGGTAACACATATGTTTTTTTTTAGTTTTTCATTTCTCGATGCGTCCTTTATGTGTCGGAATATACCGTGTTTACCCTACAAGGCTAAGCTGCATTTAAAAACAGTTTCAATGCCACACAGAAAAATATATGAAAAGAAATTATGAAATTTAGATAAACTTAGGTGGAAATGGTTATAAGACAAAGATATGTTTTCCCATTTGTGGATCACATGCACTTGTTTTAAAAGGCAATCTTACCCTTTCGCCTTGATTACTTCAATGCATCATCTTCCCATGCTATTTACCAAATAATCCAGTCTTTTGAGGAATTTTATCCCAGAAACAAAAGATAGCCATGCTCAGGTCATTCACAGATTGAAAGTTTGGAACTTGCACTCATTTCGGTAAACATCCCTTGCCAATATGCTCTATAGGTTTTCAATGGGGTTGAGGTCACGACTAAGTGCTGGCCACAACAACACGGCAATATTCTGCTCTTGGAACCACTTGTTTGCTGACATTGAAGTATCAATCAAAGCATTGTCTTGATGAAAAACATATGATCCCTCATGTTTGTCATTGGCAAAAAGAAGAAAATGGTGAAATAGCTTGTGCTTGTATGCCTCGGAATCTTGTCTCCCTTGTAAAATAGCTAGAGTTGATTTTTCCCTTTCAGCTAAACACACCCCAAACCATGACCAAACCAACACCAGATTGCCACTTGGAAAAGAATTGAGGCTCATGGTCTAGGTGGTGCCAATAGCTTTGCAATCCATCTGAACAATCAAGATTGAAATTTGATTCATCTCCTAATATAATTCCTCTCTGATAAACTAATTTTTTTCAGCAAGTTTTAGTAGGTTGATAATATGCTTTTGTATGAGCATAGCCATAGGGGCACTTTTTCGCTTCTTGTATACAAAAATATTGAATATTGAATTGAATTTAATCTAAATGAGACAACTGTGAATTTCTGCTCTAAGTAATTGACCGCCACTACCTAATTCAATGATTGAGGAAAATAAGGTAGGATTTGCTACTAGAAACTTGAACAAGATTTATTTAAGTTTGCAGGATAGATTCATGGCTGGCTTGGTTATCCATGGCTGGCCAAAAACATCACATCTCCAGGTAGACAAAACCAAAGTTGAAAAATCGGTTTAATAAAGCAGACAGCATAATAAATCTCAGTGATTAACAAAAACTGGTGGAATTCACAATTTATTAACACTGCACTCCTAAAGGATCATGAATCCAATTTTGAGAAATTGGCTTGGAACGAGGTAAGCAGGTTCTGGCCTAGAATCAAGCCTCACCTCTGATGTCTCCAGAGCTTTAAGGAGTGTAGCACCAGCGTGCCACCGCTAACGAGCAGGAGAACGTCTGAGCTTAAGGTAGAGGAACCACGTTCTCATCGAGCCACCATAGCATCAGACCAAGAGGAGAGCAAGACCACGGCCGAGATAAGATGCTGCAGGTATGCCTTCTCAGAACTGCTAGGCAAACACAGGTGAAGTGGGGATGCACCGCACGGTTAGGCTGGTGTAGGAAATCTGAATATTCTTGACAGAAAGTTACTTCTTCAGCTTCGGCTTGAAACTGGCCAGAAAAGCAGATTATGACTAATAAATTTACGATGAATTCCACCAGATTTTTGTACATCATGTCCATGAATTTCTGCGCATCATGCAATATCTGATGGATGAATTGTGCTTTCACATGAACTCCAGTGATCAATTTTATAGAAGTAGAGGTAGTGCCAGCTTTAGAAGCCTTTGAAAACAGTTGCCTAAGATGCCTGTTGATTAATTTTGGGGTTGGTCCAGGGTGCATTCATGATCCGTAGCCATCCGGATTAGGAAAAATGATTATACAATAGTTTTTGAGAGTTTTCTTCTGCGGTGTTCTGCGTAGCTTCTACCGCATTTCTCAAAGGCCAAAATCTGCGCCTTCTTGGCCTCTGTTAGTCCTTTCCCTTTTGGCATCTTTTCTTACTTTAAAAAAATGTAAATGAGGACACTGAACTACACCAAAAGTACACCAGAAATACCTACACCATAAGTACCCTAAATGACAAAAATCAGGATATTCTTGATGTTGCTGTCCTTTTTAACTTAAAAATATTACAAAAAGATACAAAAATGCAGAAAAGCCCATCTTGATCTTATAACCATTTCCGCCTAGGTTTTTTGAAATTTCATCATTTCTTCTAGTATATTTAGAGAAAATTATTTTTTTACTATATTTTTTTTATAGCATTGGAACCATTTTTAAACATAGTTTAGCCTAGTATAATTAGAATCCAGTATTTCTCTATTCATGAAAAAATATTTAGAAAAAACTGGGGTTGTCATATAGCCATTCTCTGCCACTGTATACAGCCATGTGTGTACATCCAACCAACCTTTGTGCACAACACATCAGGCAGAATTATTTCTGGTTTACACTGCACATCTTACTTCTTGTGAGTCACAAGTGAGCCAGAGATTCATTTTGTTAATTAATTACTTTTGTTAATTAATTGCTTCACAAGTGAGCCAGAGATTCATTTTGTGAAATTTTTCACTACCAAATAACGTGGAGAGTATAGCACATTCAAATTAATGACCTAAAACTGGAAAAAAAATGTCTTGGTTTTAATGCTCCATGCAGAGGTGGCGCACAAGCTTCTAATCTCTACAAATCTCTTCAAGCAAGCTCAAAGTGTTGAAGTTTTTTCTCATAAGATTAAAAAATACCTAGTGGCCATACCCTTAACCTCTCTAAAAGAAAAGTTTTGGCACTAACTTAACCAAAGCTAGTATGTAGCTCTTGTAACAATTTAAAAAGATATTTCTCATAAAATTTGAATTCAGCTCTGGTAATGTAAAACTTATCAATTCGTGATAAGGCATGGCTTTGTAAACTTATTTTGATGCCATTAAGTGCTTCTTAACTCCTAACAATGCATACAATTATTATTTTCTAAGGCCTTGAGAAGTTCAAAGCTTTTTGCCCAAATATAATTTCCACAATCTTAAAAGTTTTTCTGGTTGTGGTTCTATTGATGACATTGGAAAATTAATTTATAAATACATTTCATATTTTAGTAAATCATAAGTTGACATAAATTTAATAGAATAATTGTGAGATCATCATTTAGTGGTCACTAAACTAGGTTTATCAAATTATAAAATTTTTCTAATGATTGTGAGGTTAAGAATTGTTTATTCAGGAATTCATGGATTTATCATTGTTTTTTGTATAAGATCAGCTAATGGTTCACTTCATTGGTAGTTATGTGTAGCTCTGCAGATTTACAAATATGAGAAATGCCTCTTAAATCATTAGGTTAACTTAGGTTGGAAGGATTGCATTATATTGCAATGTGCTTATAGTTTACCTGTATATAAAGGCTTGATAAATGTATTAACACTAAGTTTTTCTTCTGAACACACATTGACTGTCAAATTTCCATGTTCTCTTACTCATTCCCATGACTGGTGTGGCTGTACAGGGACACAGTCGTTGGTGTTCAAAGTACTCCTGAAGTTTCAAATACATTAATCTTCGTAGTACAACTAAAGCAAATATATATCTGATACTAATGAGTCCTTTCTACTAATCATTTAGAATTGGGCTGCATCATTGCTTAATTACTTATGTAAATAATATCCCGACATTTCTAATTTGTTTCAGGCTACATAAATGTAACAATTTATTACTTATGTAAATAATATCTTGAAATTTCCAATTTTTTTCAGGCTACATAAATTTAACAATTTATTACCTACTTATGTAAATAGTATCCTGACATTTCTAATTTGTTTCAGGCTACAAAAATTTAACAATCTATTACTTATGTAAATAGTATCCTGACATTTCTAATTTGTTTCAGGCTACATAAATTTAACAATTTATTACTTATGTAAATAATACCCTGACATTTCTAATTTTTTTCAGGCTACATAAATGTAACAATTTATTACTTATGTAAATAATATCTTGACATTTCTAATTTTTTTCAGGCTACATAAATGTAACAATTTATTACTTAATAAAATTGTTATTTTTCAGAAGATACTCCGTTCACTCAAGTGAGGCTGCGTGAGCTTGGCAGCTGGCTGGCTCGCCGCAACAAGACGCCTCGAGCAGCAACACAGGCTGTCTCTAGAGCCTGGTGGCGCTGGCAGCAAAAGGTTCAGTTCCATGTTACTTCAGTGATAAGATTTTACTTTGATTTTCTCTTCATGTTCTTGTTGTCACACGTTTACATTATATTGTTTCAATTACGAGACTATTTTTACTTTGATATTCTCTTCAAGTCACACATCTGTATTATATTTTTTAAGCTTTGCTAATTGGAACATCAAGACTTCTCAATTCTTCAGTAATACCTGATGAAATGCAATTGCTTATGTTTGAAATTAACTTTCATTATACTGGAAGTCTTTATTAGTACTATAACAGATTGCTTAGTCCTTAAAGCTAAAGCTTCATTGCAAACAAGCTCCCTCACTGAACTTTTCATAACTTCAGAAAACTATCATTATCACGCATCAGCTGGAAATTTTGTTTTTCTTATTGAGGGTTGGATCGATCAACACCGTAACGCTGTTGACGGATCTAGTCAAGGCAAAGATTGTAATGAAGACATTCCCTTGCAGTACCTCCTCCCCGAGAAAATGGGTGTGGCCCCCTTCATCCAGATCGCAGTAGGAAGCATGGCCTTCTTCTATTTGATCAACTACACTAAGTACAGTAAGTACGAACGTTTTTGTCGTTTCCTATAATGTAAGCTAAAATTGTAATGAAATTAATAAATTCTAGAGATATTGAATGCCTAGGGTAATCGAAGTATTCTTAAGTGGCCTAGTTGAGCGGCCAACTTGTGGCCTAGTTAGCTGCTCTGTCTGGCGAAGTCTAACAATAAATCATCTTTCCATTTACCTCAGCTAGAATTAATTCTTCCTGTACTGACACGCTACCTTCTATTTTTCAGAGGCACATCGCACTCAGAAGTACCATTGGTAAGCCTTCATCCTTCACCATCTCAGGAGGAAGTAGAAGCCAAGCAATGTAATATATCAATAAATTTTCGCTAGACCACATGATGTTTTTTCAGTCTCAATAAATTCATCAGATAATGTGTAATTTTGAAGCGGTCGTAAGTTGTTCATGAATTTGTCCATTTTGTTGCAATGATGGTGTCAGTGATCAGGCAGTTGCTACTATAGACTACATGCAATTGATCATTGTAATCGGAATCAGATGTACTAAAGGGATAAAATAAAATTCCCCATACTATTTACGTATCTTTACTCACGTCTCGCATTATTTACAAATGTAAAAACACTTTACAAACATCAACAGTCGCAAATCGTGTACAGTCAATAAGTGACACAAAAAGCAATGAAATCACTGAACAAGCATGATTTTTTAACGTATAAATTAGCAGTTATCAATTACCATCATCAAAGATACTTTCGTAACACGCAAACAAATTTAAAAATCAGGCCGATTTTGCGGGTCAGAAACAATGCAACTACATGTTGAGAGTAAAGCTGTACATCACAAAGCATATCAAGTTCATGAAACGTATTCCAGAAATTCAAGAGCAAGAAGGCCTGGCTGTAAAAAGCGCTAGCTGAACTGCACAAACTGTGACTCGGCCTGAGGTCATTCATGATGGTAAATACTAGGGAATGATAGAAAACCATAACTAAACGTCCGATCAAATATATCTCGACAACTACGATCTTGCACATTCAAGAAATATCAGAAATCACCCCAACATCAACTTAATTAGTAGCCAGCACAGGTTATCAGTAAAGCGACCTTATCTAAATACGCCTTACAACCCGACTGAACTGAATACGAAGCTAGATAAGCGATAAAATTTTGCGTTTGTTAGAAGTATGAGCTGAAATCTAAGTACTAAAGGTCCCTAAATACATTGTATACTATTATGTACAAGTACCACTCAATACTTCGACCGTTAAAAGACGTATTTCATAGATAAATATATTTATGTATACTTATACGTAAGATCTGAAAATAATTATTCAAACAACGAAAAGAGGGAACTATTTAGCATGAATACTTCAGGGCGATAATTTTCTCCCCTCAGTCAATACGAGCTGGACGAGCGAGCTCCACGTCAACAGTGATGGTCGGAAGTAAAGTAGCACAGTCTCGCCATCGAATAAGTATTTTCCTAGCAAGTGAAATTAGCGGAGCAAAACTACATCCGGAAAAAATATGAGTGAGCAGCTATCAGTCAGCTGGCCTTGAAAGCGAGTGCAGAAATAAGTGTAGTTCTGGCGTGCGTGCACGTAATGAAACGTTTCCTCGCACGCTATCTCATGTGAATGTCGAAGGATCATCGGGGAAAATCTAGGTATTAAACTGATATTGTAATCAGTGACAGATGTGAAAAGATATGCGGTTATTTGCTCCCAATACATAGTTAATGTCATGATTAAGGAAAAAAAGTGTATTGACTATTGAAGACTATTTACTATTGAAGAATGACTATTTCCGCCTGACGTTCCATGCGAAAACTCTTTCTGTGGGCTGAATTTTTTACGTTGTCAGTTTCTGTGCGTGATTCAGGGACAGCGAACAAGTATTTGTGCGTTCTACACATGCATTCTGTCAGAATTGGCGAGTAACAACCCCCTGTAAGGCCCACTAGAATTGTGAACACAAAGAGAAAAATCGTCTCTATTTTTGATTGGTACTAGAATGGGGGGTTTACACATGGCTGGACAACACGCGTGTGCGACATGCTGCGTTGAAATTGTCATCAGTCCGAACAGCCTCTGAACAGGAAACTCGACTAAAAATAAATAGGAAAGCTTACAGTTTCGCTGATTCAAGTATTACAAATAAAGAAAATTTCGTGCTTACCGAAAACAATGCATGAAGATATATGCAAGTTTAATTTAGAGTTTATCAAAATATACTACTAGAGTCAAACACAATTTATACTATTTTGGAGACTTATGTTGCTGCTCGGTGAATGATATGTCAAGAGAGTGATCAAACTGCGGGCTAAGTTCTAGCATATATATATTTGCTTATGAGCTGATGTACTCAACAAGACGGCCTAGAAAATAAATGTCAATGATCTAAATTGCAATGGAAAAAAAACATTACCGCGATATCCCACCTGAAATAATTTCAGTTGACGATGGATGGTTAGTGTATATCTTACACGGGAGCGGAGAAACTGAAGAGAACCACAAGATCAAGTTGCTGGCTAGAACATCGCCACACGTTGCGCAAGTCTGAGTAGATATCATCGAGCACACATACGCACATGCTCCACATGAGGATGTGAGATCACGCTATGTATTTGAGCATGGATATTCAAACCGAATACGCAGCGTCATGAACTCCTTTTTGCCAGTAATTAAGAAGTGTCGATAATTAAAAAAAAGCGACGCACACCTCCAGACCAGCATACACCACACGCACTTAAAAGGCTAGCAGGCAAACACGACCATCTTTTGTGCAGGTCCATGCGTCACGGTATGGGCTCAGGCGAAGAATTGCTGTGTGAACGCAAGCAAGTCCGCATCAGATTGGTTGAAGTCCTCTACATACAGAAAGGCTGAAAATTGACAACTGCACTAGAGACATTGAATTTCCTTAAGAGGAACAGTTAAGTGCACATGACGTCAGCTTCTGGAGCACATACAAAGAAGCAAATTATGGACTTATCAGAAAGCCTGGAAACGACATTTTCTGTTGAACAAACCTCAGCGATGAGAAGAAATTAGCAGTACCGTGAAGCTACCTGATCATGCACAGCCGATGCTATCGAAAAAATGAAAAATAAGAATTCTGAAGCGCCACGAGGAGCAAGGCCAAATTTAGGCTTATTGATAAATTTGCTAATATTTCTGAGACAAGTCAAGAGCGGATACACTACCGAGGATCTTAGGCTGGACATTGAGCCAATCTGGGCTGTGAACAGAAGCCCCATACGTAATGGAACAAGCAGGACATTTGGTCAACATGATAATGGCCCCTTAGCTAGGCATTAAATCTTTCAGTATTTCAAAAATTATTCAAAACATTTGTTCCTCCAAATTAGTACCTCATCTTTAACATGGCCATAATATAGATCATAAATCCGTGCACCATAAATAAATATATATATATATTTACCCATAAGAAACAATAATTTGATACTTCGTGGCCATCGTCTATCGAAACAATGTATTTCTCAGCGCTGTAGTCGGGATTACGTACCATACTGGCTCCGGAGTCGTTCAATAAGCTGAACCTTTTCCCAAACTATATTTACTTTTCCCATTGAGTTTTCTTTGACGAACTGCCACATAATATAGCGAGAACAAAGACTAAAAGAAGACATTGTGAATACATGAAAAAGTTTATCACTCTTCAGAAAATAATCGATTGCGTATCACACGAAATTGTCCGAGAAAAACACAAGATACAAAACAAAGATTTCCTAGCTCGGTTTGTGTGGACTCGAATGACCAAGTAACTCCTGGACAAGAATAGGTAGAGTTTGCGCGCGTGCATACATCAAGAGATGATATATTGACGTTCAGTTGATTGGCTGAATATACGGTACACTAAGATGTTGCTGTCGCAGTGTTCCAGCGGCGATGGCAATGGCTGATCTCTTTGAAGATTTCTCTTACTGGGCGATTTTGTCATGAAAGAATTCCTTCTTAGTCATGATGGTATCTTCTAATGAATGTTTTATTGATCGCCAGTGAAGGGTTAGTCGACATGATCCCATTTTTATCCTCAGTTATAACAAATATCAACAGATAAGTGCTGTTTAGATTCATAACACGATCATGATGTTCTTCGCAAACATTGAAGGAGCAGTGAAGTGGTGAAGGATAGGAAGTTTTCCATATAAATATTGATGGCTGGGTTAGGAAGCAGCGAAATGTATGAAAGAAGAATGACCTCACAAGACCCGGCCTGGCATATTGAGCCAAGAATGAGGCAGTAGTAAGGGGTAGTCTATGGAGCGAGGGTTTAGATGAGCACGCAACGGCGCTTAGGCTTGGCGCGCGGTACGGGACACAGCACAGCACGGATGGCTTCATCGAACACAGTCTTGAGGCCCTTCTGCGTCAGCGCTGAGCACTCCAGGTACTTCACGGCGCCAACTTCCTTCGCCATAGACAGGCCCTGAAAACATCAATGCTGATCATAATAGATAGATACAGTTGACGCGTGACAAGGCAAGTTCTTGAAGACACTTACGAACAATAAACAATTCAAGAGTCAGATAAGAGGATTGTGAAGAAGCCAGTTTGAGTTCCGAAGTGCCTCTAATATGATGCATCGCTGCTTTCAAATACTAGTCTAGGAATACATTTGAATAAAAAAACGGACTAAAGACAGCATGACTAGACTTCTTGCCAATAATATTTTAGGAATATAAGTATTTGACGATTTAATACTGAACTCTTTACTCTTATCTTATCTTTGAATAAGATAAGAGTATAAAATTAGCTCTTAAGAGCGATTCTTGGAAAGTTTCTGCACCGAACATCACTTGAAAGTTCACGCGCTTCACCTGAGGGTAAGAGATGGGCTGGAGCTTCTTGTCTTTGAGCTTCTCTAGGGTGTCCTTGTCGTCTCTCAAGTCGAGCTTGGTGCCCACCAGGATGATGGGAGTACTGGGGCAGTGATGCCGTACTTCAGGATACCACTGGAATGTACCACACACATCAGCTTAGTAGTTTATACAAGGAGTCAAGCTCCACTGCACAATCAGCTTAAGAAAAAGCAGTAGAGGAAATACCTCCAACGACTTAAAGTATGGGGAAGTGGAGGCGTAATCATTCAATTCTCAGTAAGTTCAAGGTGAGTAGGAAGCAATTCATCTCGGCAGCGAATGGTCCAGAAATAGTTATCGGAGCTACAAGTTAACGTAACATGAAAATTCCATCAAATGAACGTGATGAGACAATAAGATGTTAACAAGTTAATGTAACGTGAAAATTCCATCCAATGAACGTAGTGAGACAATAAGATGTTAACAAGTAAATGTAACATGATAACTCCATCCAAAGAACGCGAGGAGACAATAAGATGTTAACAAGTTAATGTAACATAAAAACTCCCTCAAATGCATGTGTTGAGACAATAATACGTTACCTTAGCTCTGACGTTCTCGAAGCTGGCAGGGTTGACGAGGGAGAAGCAGATGAGGAAGACGTCAGTCTGGGGGTAAGAGAGCGGCCGCAGACGGTCGTAGTCCTCCTGACCAGCTGTGTCCCACAGACCCAAGTTGATGGGCTTGCCGTCCACCATCACATTTGCCGAGTAGTTGTCGAAACTGCAGTGCAACCATCATTTAGAAATACTCCAGTGCGGATTTAATGAGAACTCGTCGTTAATGAATTTCAAAGGAAATATAATATAGAAAGTTTTGGCAATAAACGGAATTAAGACCAATGTAAGCGCTTCAGAAAACGACCCAGGGTCAGACGATTGTGTTCTAGTGTCTATCAAGTGCACGATGCAAGCAAATGGTAAGTTATTTCCTGACGCAATGCATCGCATAGTGAACAAAATACGTACACTGTGGGGATGTATTCTCCAGGGAAGGCGTTCGTGGTGTAGCTGATCAGGAGGCAGGTCTTACCCACCGCTCTGGGGGAGAAAAAATGAAAAATATTACATGGTGAAAAAAAACTATACTCTGTGATCATAATATTAGCAGTGAGAAGATACCAAAATTGCGAAACAGCATGTACACTGAACAGTGCTTAACCTTTAGGAGGTTGTGGACAGTTGCTATATTCATAATTTTGCCGCACATAAACTATGGGAAACTTTTCGTACCATATCAGAACAACGATCATCGAGTGGATTGTCGATCATCCCGTCAACAATCAGAGACAAAATTTGACTGTCATCGACTGTAGTATCGATTAAAACGTTCATGCAGTCGACTTTCCAATTTAAATTTCCATTATATTTTTTACCAGGAGCCTCAGTCGACATGATATAACATGATTCCGAAAAGGACCGAACACGACGGCCTGTAAGCCTCTCCAGTTACTGGTTTCATTTGCTTCATCGGCTGTTAAAGATTTTTTACATGTTAGTGTTCGATATAGTATCATGCCTATTGTTGTTCAGAAGCTGTCATAGTCTCGTTCGTGCAACATATATACGGTACTGCCCAACTAAAAGAAATTTTTCTCTCATTAAAATGCGGCTTGGCATCCTAAATCTCAATATTGCCGAGAGATACGGTCTCGTCTCATAACTTGTTTCTTTTGTGAAGTGAACAAACGACATTGGTACAGCCAGGATAATGCGACCTTGTGAAGATGATGTCTCCTACGTCCGGTTAAAAGGAGCGGACAACGTGAGGCTTTTAGCGGGTGAGGCCGTGGTCTAAGCAGCCCTTATTACAAGGTGACAGATTACCAGGAAGTTGATGAGCATTTAATGTAGAGGCAGGTGGTGGAGCCAAGCAGCCAGCGTATGCAGGCGCCGTCGTTGGCACAGATTCAGTTGTAAGCAGCACGAGAGCGGCTCGCAGAACTTGACTAGACAAGAAGTACTAACTGCATGCCAGGAACAATTAGGAAATTCTACAGGAACTCGCGCATCAATCTTCTGCAAGCGCGAGTAAATGCAAGCGTCGCGATGATCAATGTTTCTTTCTTCAAGGCGATAGATGTGCTACCGTAAGCATTGGAGTTATTCTGCATCGAAACGCATCACATAGAATCAAGAATGATAGTGAAGAGGATATAAATGCACTGCTTTACTCTCATGGTTTCGACACCGGAAAATTAAGACCTGCTATATTCACGCGCATCGCTAATGAAATTTAACCAAAAAGATGTAATCCAATTGTTAGTCACGCAGAAAATTACAGTGTTCATTAATGCCAAAAGACATTTCAAGGACTGCAAATGCATAGAAAGGCCTCGAGTGGCAATGCAAAAGCTATCAGAAATAGCCCTGGTGTTGCAGCCCAAAAAAGGCGCCATGGCATCCCGCCAACGCGCCACCAAGTCAGCTGAGGACGAGACTTGCACGACCGCGACACTCGCGCGCCCACTTGGCCGCACCTCACACTACTACACTCAGACGACAGCAGCGCCAGGTGATGTGACCAGCAAGTTTTATTTGCAATGATCAGAGTATCACGTCACAACGTCACAACGATTACAAGACGCGAGTGAGAAACGCTCTAATTAAGTCATCACCAATTTTATATGCAATGATCAGAATATCCCGTCACAACGATACAAGACGCGAGTGAGAAACGCTCTAATTAAGTCATCACCAATCTTGTATTGTGGGAAATGCATGTGTGTCGTTCTAATACTGTCTTCCGGGTCATGATTAATTTTACTTGGATATTATTTATCGCTTAGTATAATTTAGTTAAGAATTTTAGAAGTTGGAATGCGGAAGGTGCGCGTTAATAGACTTACGCGGCGGGAGGCCCAAGGGAAGGTATGTAGTGTGTTAGGTCCAGACGTGTATCATTAAATTAGAATATGTGGATCGATGTAAATAATTTATTTTTATGCATTATTTAATGTTTTTATTGCTGTACAATACAAGTCGGGAGGATAATTATTGTTTGTTTTGTTAAATTTGTTAACTTATAAAGCCTCGAGACTTGGTCTCCTGCTGCGATTATACAGCAAGGATTATCGGTTTTGAACAACACGCGGTATGTTTAGATTAATTGAAGGATTTGTGCTATAAAATGATTTTAAGTGAAGACTATCAGTGACCAACGCCCTATGCCATCATATAGGCTGAGTTGGTATGTCCCGGTGACCCCACTACTAAGACCGAGTATCAAGAAACATGAATGTTCTACTAAACACTTGAAATGCCCTTGTTTCCTTAGAGGGAGACGGTAGCTTAATGAGAGTGTGGTTAATGCATAAGTTTAAAAATTAATAAATAATTGGAAAAACTATGGCACCCCATATTACAAGCCAACTAACAAGGTCGTATGAAAGAATTAGGAGCGAAATGTCAGACAGCCAACTAGAAACTTGAGGGGATTCAATTGAACTAAAATTCATACCTATACGAAATGAACAATTGCATTAGGCTCGTGCGCAGCTCTATACGCGTAACACCTGCTAGTTTACATTTCATAGGGAAGAATTTGAATAAATCACTGACTAAATGCTCGCAATAAACAAATATTTCACTTGATGAATCAAGTACTAGGGACTGCCAGACATTGCAAGAGGTGCACGAAAGGTTCCAAAGCGGAGCACAAGCATCGCATATTTCATTATGCACAGGCTAGAGGATTACACTCGTCATGTACAGGTAAGAGAATATAGTTCAACAATATTCATTTTGTAAACAAGTTAAGGACAGCGGAAGCCGCCGAAGCTCTTACCCAGCGCAGGCCATTTACGGTACATTCGACCTACGCAGCGCGTGGCAGCTCTGTAGTAGACGTGTGGACGCTCTGCTAGAGAGCACCAGCCGATTTTTAGAGGGAACAACAGTCGATATTTAGACGCATTTGGTGCAGACATAATACATATTTGCATGCTTTATACAAATAAATGCCTGCATATATGCATGCCTGCATATATGCATGCCTGCATATAGCTCTACTTCACAGACCAGAAATGTGAGAGAAGTATGTTCAGTGACAGTTTATGTTTAATGCTGGAACAGATGCTTACTTGCACATGCGCACATGAAAGCAGGTACGATAGCCTAAGAGTGCAATGTAATTTCCCGTACCAAATTAAATGCAAGTTTCAATTTGTCGCGTTACATTTCCATTGACAAAGAAGGTAAGTGTTCAAGGTATCCTTACAGCACGAGTAAGTGTTCAAGTTGCAACGGGATAAATGGTTGCGGGGGCGCGGGCGAGATTTCACTGCAGAAACACTGGCTTGGAATATAAGCCCACACTAACACCGCCCACTCCTTCACACAAGCTTGCGTCGCGGATGAATTTTTTCAGCTTAATAATAAGTGCCATTAAACTGGCAATTATTTTTCAATGTTAAGCACCAAAAACACGCAAACGTCTTACTGCCTTTAAATTGAAAGCTAGCAATGCGCTGAACGATTCATTTCTGAAACTAATTATTTTTGTAGATGAGCTCCAACTCATCACATCGATGAACTAATTTTTAGAGCCAAAAGCATGAGCTGCCAAACTGGGTTATCACAAGTTAGCCGGAGAATAATGCGGGATATTACCAAGGAAGTACGCGCGTGCCTAAAACTATCGAGGCATAAATTGCCTAGACCTACGCCACATGTAACTAACTTGTGTGCATACGAACGGGAAGAGGACAACGTGCAGTCAAACGACAGTTGTGGTATGAACTGCGTCACGCAGCGCTTATGCGCATGCCAGCGGACTGAGGACAAGTGCTGTCAAATTAAGGTAGTGTCGGCAATGACGCTCGAACACTGTGCCTGACCTCCGCAAAATACGTGACGTCTGCTTGTAGTTTCATCATGTTGGTAAAAGTACGTCCTGCTACTTGAGCGTTGTCTTTCTAGCAATGCAAACAAACAGACGCGTCTCAAGCAGACAAGAAATTAAGGCAAAGAAAATTGAAATACGAGAAGACTAGTGTTGGGAAAAATGCCCAGAATGGAGGTTTTTACATTTTTCACCTTAAGTTGATACCATATCCAATTAAAAATGTCCAATAACCATTTACAAATTTTGTCTTTACTCGCTTATTTGTCTGCATTAAAACCCTCGCTCGTGCATTAACGCTGAAAATTTTATAAATTAACTCAAATGTTTCTGCATTAGAACATATTGAAATGGTATGAAACACTCGATGGTAAAACGATTGCCCCCACACTCGTGTCATCCTCTCCATGATGTTGATGCAGGCGATGACTCATATCTGATAAACAAGCTTTGATGTACTCATTTCCTCACCCTGATTCATCGTGATCGCAGAGCTGTTTACCCAAGCTACAGGTAAATGAGCGTCAACACTTGAATCTCATTAGCTGGTGACACTTCTGGGCAAAGCTGACGTTTCTCGGAATGACCATGGCCGCCGGGCTGCTGACGCAGGCGTTATGAACGCATCTCAGACGTTGACGAGAGAGCACCGAGTCCACCAAGGCTGCCCTTTTATTGTGCCCTTTTATTGCCGCATTAAATAAGAAAGAAGCTAACATTTCAAGCGTCAAAGGGCCCAATTGACGGAATTAAGCTTAGAGTCTAAAGCTCTTAATATAATTTGCCAGAACCCTGACTGCAGCCATTGCCTGCGCCATCACAGTGGTTCAAAGCCTCTAATCCTTTAGTCGATGATTGTATCCATTCAAATAACGCGAAATAATTCACTGAAGTATTCATCATATTCAGATCAGTAGGGAAAAGGCAAGATCAGTACAAATAAATAACGCAAAGATATTCAATTTCCTGCATATACGGCGCTTTTCATGCTAGCATGTACGACCAATACGCGGACAGGAAGAGATAAAAATTTGTCGGTATAAACAACGATGGTGTTCCCAACAGGAGTTAATTGATGAAACGGGGAATTCGAGAAATGAAGATAATGTGAGTTCCACTCTAATTCGACCCGTCGTTTAAAGGCTCGTTGTTGTCATAAAAGATTTGTGACTGAATTTTTATTCACCGATACAGGAAA